AGTTCCAGTTCCCTGGGGATGAAAGGGAGTTGGGCGGAGTTGCGAAAGTTCGTAGAACGCACGTTGCCGTGCTAGGCTAGAACGCCGTAACAACCATTAGATGTTAACAGATTTCCTCCCATAAACAAAACAGAATTTGCCCGGAAACTTGCTACTATTATTCTTTTAAATTAATTTAAAACATTTTGGTCAGAAAACCATTCAGTTTTACCATTAAAAGTTAATTTTCAATTTTCAGATACTTCAGAGTAAATTGTAAAACAAATTAACAAAAAAAAGAAACAACAAAATTAGAAAATTTGTTTTAAAATTTACTCTGAAGTATCTGAAAATTGAAAAAAAAAACTTTTAATGGTATAACTGAATGATTTGCGAGCCAAAATTGTTGAAATTGATTTAAGAGAGCTAATGTACAGTTTAGCCTCAGAAAGAAATTTAGAGGTGAACATTTCTTATTGGTTTTTACAAAAATATGGTCAATTTTCATGAGCTTAATGAAAGTGACTTTTTTAACAACTCTAAAATGAGTTTGTCATGAAAGAGACTTTATTTTTTTACACGATTACGCTTTTAATACATTGTATAACAGCACAAATCTAAATATATTAAAAATCAACATCAAGTACCTCTCTATCAGAGGAGTCTAAAATAAAAATAATCATCATATTAACTAAATAAGGAGCAGCAGTTGCAATTTAACCTAAAAGTCATCTTAATTAATGTGTTTCAACTCCATTTAAAAATTAAATAATTGAATCATTGAGAACGAAAACACACCAACTCGAAAAAATTAAACTAATCAAGACACACGCAAAACTGCACAGTAGTTGAATAAGTTAGCACAAGAAAAATATTTTTGGTGCCAGAACGCAAGTACTTGAGGACACTTTAAAAGCCCAAGTTGGAACAGATGCGTTAACCTCGATGGCCTCGATGACGACTGACTCTCTTTAATGAAAATTGAGCATTTTTAAGTTACCGAGTTGGTGTGTTTCCGTTCTCATTGATTCAATTAAAAACGCTGTTTCGATTCGTAAAAACTATAACTTCTGAGCGGATTTATTCATATAAACGTATAAAACAATGTGAAAACCAAGGTCTGATACTCTCCTCAAAAATGATTATTTATCAGGGAAACTTCGGCAACATTCGGAAGCTCATACGGCGTTCCTCCTTAGGTCGGCAGTGCGCCTCGGCTGCGTCAGCTTGCGCATTAGCTATGTATTATCAAGGAGGAGCCACGGTTGAACCGTGGTCTTGGGCACTCCGAGGCTCTTTCCTGATCGAACTTACTGCTCTTTTCCGGAGCACGGGAGTTGGAATGTTGGTTTGAGCACTTGTTGCGTCTCCCGTCAGGGCTCCACTCGGGAGTGTTAACCGCACAACGACAAAAGTTTATTGATTGAGCTCACACTCCTGGTGTTATGTCCCACAAGTCCCCCTATCATTCATGTTGTTTGTCCTTCGATTTTGCATGTGCCATTGAGCTTTCGTTCTATCAGACCCAACTTTGGAGACTCGGTTTGCCCCTTCGCTCCGAGAGAAACTCTGCCGTCCACAGCAAAAACGCCGTAACTCCATTATAAATCTGTATTTTTCTCCCATACATACTGCTCCAATACATAAAAACCCTTTTTTTGTTTTTTTTATTAAAGTTTATTGATATACAATACAATACTTGTCACTACTACCAAATACAATCAGATTGCCGGTATCCATTGACATGAATTAATTTTTTGATATTTAAAATATTTAACGATAAGTAGAACGTATGATAAGCAGTTAAGCTTATCATGATGGTCTGGGGCATGTAATGCCTCCAGCCATTTGAATAATCCAAGTGTGACAAGGCTTTTTTTTTGAGTTTCTAATAGTATGCAAAAATTGACTCCAAAAAATGAGAGAAATATATTCGCTATAGTTTTCTGATCAAATAGTATTTTGTCAGAAAAAAATTGAAAAAATCTCGAATGGAGATACTGTGTTTTTACTTTGGACGGCAGAACTGAAAAAACGTCGTTTTGCGGACGAAGGAACGAAACATCATTCCAAGGTTGCAAAATTTCCTGAAACAATTCAGTTTTTTACAAGAGTATACCTTCGAAACTTTTGTCCAAAATTTCTCAGATTTTTTAATGAGATCAGGAAAAAAATTATTGAAATTTTCAATCGAAAATGCTCAAGAATCTCCCGGTAATAATGCTGTTTGCAAGGGGAAAATTTGGCAGCATTAAAATATAGTTACGTTGTTTTGCGAGGGGAACTAGGAAAAATTTCCTGCTGGATCAACGGAGACTCGTCTTCAATGCCATCAACAGAATTTCTCGTTGAGAAAAAAAGGGATCTCGCATTCCAAACAGTAATCCTGTTCCTTTAAATGGATTTCGAAGCTGAAACTCCCAAACCACGTGTCTCGCTTTGCGATGTTGCAGACTTCTTGTCATTCTTTATTTTTTAAATTAACAACTGCTCAACGTCAATTTTAAAAAATTCTTTGATTTTTTCTCTCAGTGCGAAGCAAACTCCGAAAAACAACTTCAAGGGTTGATGTTGATTTGTAAGACAATGAAAAAGGAGCGGAAATTTTTCGATACCGTAAAAGAGATTCGTGGTTTGGAAGTTTCCCTGTCGCGATATCCTGTTGTGGCATATTTGACAGACAAATTTTTTGGATTGAAGAAATGCACGGAATCGACCAGAATCAGCTAACTGCATTTCAGGTTATCTGATTTCTTCCCATGTAGTATACTTACATGTCAGAGCATTAAAACGTATTACGTCTTAAATTTTTTTAGGAATTTCCCCTAAATGACAAATACTTACAAAGATTTAAGTGAGATTGTTGCTCTTTTTTGTTGGGAAAAAACCTGAACAAAAATTAGGCAGTGTCCAATATAGTTGGAATGATTCTGCTTAAATGTGTCTAAATATCGTTCCCCTCCGGTGAAAATATCACGAACACCCTTTCTACAGAAATGGAGTCGGTGCCAATGGTTTATAATTTTTCGGATACTTTAAAGCACGAAAATGTCTGTTTCTGCTAAATTAAAATCATTCACTACATCTAAAAACATTCATAGGTTGAAGACAGGATGTGGAAGAATTGTCATGTCCAGGAGAACGCATCACAAGCGCCAACTCTGGCAATTAAGAGAAGAGTTTGACGGTTTCTTAAGTTTCTTCAGCCATGTTGAGCTTCAAACATGAATAAACAAACGCAAGTATCATTAGAGCAAAGAAACATTCATAGTACATAAAGCAAATAGAACATCCGCCGCTATGTGCTGAGAGTCTTATTTAAAATGAATCATCACCGGTATCCATTTTCGCACTAAAAATTACGTTTTCTCTCTCTTGTACGAGTATCATTACTTTAAGCGCTCCGACCTCCTAAATTTTCATTTTTTGTAAATTTTATTCTACCGGGCCAAATTTCATGATTTATACAGCTACCGATAGGAAATAATCTCTAGATGAACCCGTCTTATTTAGATTATCCTAAGAGGGGCCCGCGAAGCAAGCCTTTGAGGGCGGAATGCGCCCTTGGGGGATGGAACAAGTAGCGGCCAGGGGGCTTGGCTCTCAGGTTACATCATCATTAGCAAACGTATTTCACGCATATGTTCATTTATGTAAAATAATATCATTGAAGTACCTGTGGGAGGCTCTCAAAATCATCCTGATTCCGAGGTGCTTGAAACTCCCTTCCGAACAACCTTTCGCACCTCTGAAACTACACCTTACGGCTCCTATCAGGACGCACAAGTGTGATATCGTGGGTTTTATCGATAAATCATGAATTATTGAAGGCGCAGGCGGCGGGTCAAGGCAAAAAGCGCACTCAAGACGAAGAATAAAAGTATAAAAGCCTGGAAGGAATGCAATAATAATCGACCAATACATTCTGTCCTCCTTAGTGCGGACTTGCCCACGAGTTCAATCGGGCGACAAATGGCCATTGGGTCGTATTTCGGTCTCCCTCCCNAACCAACGCGCCGTGCCGCTTACGTACCCCCCCTTCCCTTCCTCCTCCTCCTCCTCATCTTGCGAATGCGCTTTAAGATCGTGCAGAAATTCAGCGAATCCACACTGAAATGAGCAAAAATGCACTCTCTTGCCGACTGTTTACGACTTCACGCTTCAGTATTTCACCTTGTCGGCATCTAATGACCCACGTGGAAATAAAAGACTTCATTTGTTCTTTCATTTAAAAGTTTGAACGACGCTTCGTCGTTCTTGATTCCGAACTTGGTTTGCATTCAAGGTAGCTTCAATCATTCTACGAGAGCTCTACTTTATACCCGCGAGATATTACTCCAAGTTTGGTCTACTCGGGTCCTTTGGACCCGAGTTTTTCCATCATTTCTTGAAATGAAGTAATTGGGTCAAATCTGCATGAGGATATTCGAAAAAAGACTTGTGGACGATGGTCCAGGTCTTCTTTTCATTATGTCAGATGGAGACGCGTTTGTTACTGGAATACGAAGAACAAGGGGCAAACGAAGGAGGAGGAAATGGAAGCGAGGAAGGTGGGAAAAGGATAAAGAGGGAGAAGACGAAAGGCATAAGAAGGAGGAGAACCGGAAGAAAAAGACGATAATTACAAAATGTCTCTTCTTTCTTTGTCGTCTTCCCATTTTTTTATGTCCTTTCCTTCTATTTCTCCCACTGCCCTCTAATTTTCCGTCTCTTTCTTCTTCGCCCGCTCCTCCTTCTCCTTCCTGCTTTCTTTCCTCCTCTTATTCTTCTCATTCTCCTGCTTCTTTTTCCAATGAATCTACATTGGACATACATCTGGGCTAGATATTGAAATTCGGAACTTGTTTGGCACCAAATTTTCTAGCCCATCCGCAAAAACGTTCAATTTGCGAAATGCAGTCCATGTATGTAAGGAGTCCTAAAACCCGCGCCTATCAATCAGACCAGGGTTAAGAAAAAAATGCTCAATTTTCAATTTATTTTTTGCGCTGGTGTAATAATACATAAGTGAGTCTTTTCAGGAATTAAGAAAGCAGTGCATGGACTTCGCAACGGCCTTGTTGGACCACACGCGGAGTTCATACGAACTAGAAGTGCTCCTTAACCATGACCCAACGGGACCAGCCTTCGAGCATGGAGAGCGTATGCATCTCAACCGCCTCAAACTAGCCATCAAACTTCGCCAAAAAAAAGTAAGCCATTTTTTTAAATCAACTGATTAAGATCAAATATATCGAGGTAAACTTTTGAGGAAATTGTCCGATTAGGCTCCTCTTAAAATACCTTTACGAACAATATGCTGCCAAACGCATTGAAATCCACGAATAATCACATCTTGCTCTCAAGAATAGATTAGCTGAAAAATCGTGTATGAACTGTTAGACAACCGAAACTTTTTTTTTAAAAAAAAACAACAAAAGCCATGTTGTAAGCATCTCCAACTGATGAGAAAAATACGTAGTATGCATATCGATAGGGAAACTGCAGAAATGCGTATATCGGTTTGCGGCGTTGCAGACTCCCTCTCATACTTTATGTTCCATATAGAAAACCACTTAACATCATTTATTGAGCACTTCGGATATTTTTCTTCTTATGTAAAGAATACTCTGTGAAAATTTCAAGCCACGATGTTGGTTCGGTTTCCTTTCAAAAAATAGAGCGGAGATTTTCAAACACCGCACCCGATATACGCATTTTTGCAGTTTCACCATCGATATACGTTCGAGCCGCTTAATAAAAATACTCCGGCGCACAGTGGATCGGGTCAATGGGAGAGGTCGGACAAAATGTGGAGATTTCAAAGCCTATAACTCCGTTCATACAAATCTTTGGGTTTTAAAAGTGGTTCCATTGGTTTCCTCGTAAAATAATATTTTACCCCTTAAAATTAAAAATTTGACAAATTAAATATCAACAATTGCAGTTTAAGTTAAGGATGTCATGTCTAACCTCTCTGATGGACTCAACCCACTGTGCGGCTCTCCGCAACTCTCAATCGCCATCAGAGCCTATCTCTCTTCTGATCCTTAGACAAATGACCTATTCTAATTTCCTCTTCTACGCTGGAAAAAAACACATTGGATCTAGAGTCCAGACTCTTGAAAACATTGACAAGAAAAAGGACTCGCTTGATTCAATCAGATTTAAGCTTAAATCAAAAGGAAATCCGCTCAAATTAATAGGCTTGGCTCTTGATTTAAGCTGAAATCTGATTGAATCAAGAGTATTTTTTCTTTTCGATGTTTTTAAGAGTCTGGACTCTAGATCCAATGTGTTTTTTTTTCCAGTGTATGCCTTTCCTCTATCTCTCCTGCCACCGAAATTAACTGGACGTCAAAAATTTCCCAGTCAGCCCCCTAAGCAAAAAAACTTACAAAGCCGACTTTGTTGTAAAATCATGTTGTAAGCATCTCCAACTGATGAGACAAATAAGTAGTCTGTATAGTCTGTTATTTGTCGTACGTCCCAAAAAGAAAGTAAAAAATATTTGGAACTATTAAAATATCAAATCCTAAACTGTGGTTAAAAATAGAAAAATTAGAATAATAGAAAACATCTGTGGATGGTTATGCAGCATACACCAAAGCCATACGACTGCCATAGGGCCGATATAACCGCTTAATGCCAATAGACTTGCTCTGCAGATCCGCGGTTTTTGCGGCCCCGCGTACGTCGGATGAGCTTCCACGCGAAAAACGCGGGGATAATCAGGAAATGGAGAGGGCGAGAAGGAGATGATGGATGACGCCACAGAAACCGACCGTGGTTTCCGGGGATCAAGTTTTTTCCCCCGACGGAACGGGAAAAGCGTAATAAAATTGTGCGAGCCGCCCGAAAGCAGGCGCGGGAGATTCCGGAAATTCCCGCGCTGCGAACTCGCCACGCGTCGCCGCCGCTACATGAGGACGAGAAGAAAACAATTACATCGCCGGGAAAAGCTCCTCATGCCTATTTCTCACGGATTTAAGTTTTCGCCTCTCGCAGTCTGACACTCTGGGAGTCACGGATAGCCAAGACCAAGAAAAAGACCGAATGAAGCTATATTTATCTTCTTTCTTATCCTCTTCCTCTTCTTCTTTGTCCCCTTCTTCTTCTCCTTTATTCTGCCGTGCTAAGGAAGAACGCCGTATGAGCCTTCAGGCGTTGCCAAGTTTCATTCGATAAAAATCGAATTTACTGGGAAACTTTTGAAGATTTTTTTCCAACATTTTCAGACAATTTTGTACGCAATTTGCTCTAATATATCTGAAAATTTCAAAGAAAAATGTGCATAAATTTCGTCAAAAATACATGTTTTATCGAAGGAAATTTGGCAACTCTCGAATGTTCATACGGCGTTCTTCCTTAGCACGGCAGTATTGTCCTTTTCTCCGGCCCTAATCCTTTCTGACCTCTCTCCCTCTCTTTTTTCTTCTCCTCCCTCTTCTTCTTCTCCTTTATCTCCTTCATCTTTCCGTCGCTCTGCCCCCCTCTCTCCCTCTCCTCTCCTTCTTTCCCTTCTCCGTCTTCTTTCTCACCTTCTTTTTCACCTTTGAAGGAGGGGGGGGGCATGTAGTAACAAACAGTAATCATAAATCTCAACGGCGCTGCTTCATAATAATTCTTCCTCGCGTTCCATTATGACGATGAAATATTCCCAAAAATAGTTGCTGGAAAATTTTTGAGAATGTTTCTGGAGGCGTAATGAAGAATCAAGGGCAAAAACAACGCCTTTTAAAGAGGCGCTGGGGATTATCTCAAAATGAGTCGGAGGATTAAGAATATTCTCATGGCAAATTCAACCTGTGAAGAAAATTTAAAGAAGATTTTTTACGTAATAAGTAACTAACTTGACAACTCCGGATTTCCTCCATTTAAACCTATATTAAATAATCGATTCTTGTCGGAGCACCTGGCCCCTTCAAGAATCGATACATTTTCATAGGTTGAAATGGGGAAAAACAATATTACCAATTTTCTGGATCCGCTAATGGAGATATTCTCAGCATGGTCCCTTCGCACGAGGTAACTGAGAACTGAAACTGAAAATTGACTCGTCGTTTGACAATCAGCATGTAACCAACGTTATGCAAATAGGCTTTTCCTTCGACGCGTACATCATACTGAAGAAGTTCAAAACCTGAGCTCTAGAGTCAAACAAACTTGTCACTTAACTCTCTATTTCCACCCCCTCTAAACCTTCTTTTTCCTCTCTCTCTCTCTCTCTCGGTGGTGCCTTTTCAAGTTGAAATACCATTAAAAACTGTATCGCTGAATCAAGGAGGTATACTTTGAAATGCGAAAACTTTCCAACTTATCAGAGATTCGGTTTTATAGATGAGTGGTGAAAAGACAGGGAGTCGTTTCTCACCCTTTTTCATTTTCCCTCGTGGAAAATATGCGAGCCTCACTTGTGGATCATCGGACAGAATAAGAATTAAAATATATATATAATATTATATTAATATTCTGAATATTCTGAGACCTATGCTGCCGTGCTAAGGAAGAACGCCGTATGAGCCTTCAGACGTTGCCAAGTTTCCTCCGATAAAAATCGAATTTACTGGGAAAATTATTAATATTATTTTTTAAAATTGTCATACAATTTTGTAAACAATTAAATCTATAATATCTGAAAATTGCAAGGAATAATATGCATGAACGTTGGCAAAAAATACATATTTTATCAAGGGACATTTGGCAACTCTCGAATGTTCATACGGTGGTTCTCCTGAGGACAGCAGTATGTGTCTCCATCAAAATGTTTTATAGAATACGCTAAAAAAATCGCAAATTTCCGAAAGCAACCTTTCTAGGAAAAATTGAAGTAAATCTGCCGACGGAGACGAACCTATTAAGCTTCAAGATAAACTATACATTGCTCTCAAATATTATCTGACACGCCAGTTTCTTTTAAGCGTGTCAGTAGGGCTCGCTTTTTGAAATCACTCGGATGTACCATAGTACAGCACACCGATCAACCAATGCTATTCAACGGGCCGTCCAAATATTTTTTTCCTCGGACCCGTTTTCTTGTCTTTGAACCATTATCCTGTCAAGCCCTGATGGTCTCTTACCAAAAAACCGAATGAAATGCTAATTGGGAACCCTTGAGAACATTTTCCTGTCAAAACCGTATTATTTCATTTGACAAAAACCTCATAGAAGCTTTCTTACGCTCGGAGGACTCAACTCTAGAACCTTCTTTCCCGCCAAAACTGTTTAGCCAATGAGCGTCTTGCACCGCAAGTGCAATCTGTGATGAGCCTCGTGACTCTTTATACCATGTACTAACCGTGGCCCCTGCAGAAATCCACTCAAACCACTGCAGTTATCTCCCGATATAGCTTTGGGTGTCAGGTTTCGAGCAAGGCAATAAAAGACGGCGAGGAGAGGGTCGCCTCGTCGAACCTATTATCTTCCACGCCCGATTAACCATTCACCGTGACGCCAGGATCCACCAAATTTTCACAAAAATTGTTTTCCGTCTATTTAGCGAGTTTTTCCTTGCTTTCCGTTAAAGTACAAATAAAAAGAGACCTCATTTGTAAAAATCGGCCGAATAGGAGAGAAGTTACAGTTCGAAATCCAAAGAGATTAACTGAACGCGATTTCGATGCACGGCAGTTCTCCCAAATCACGGTCGTGCGAAATGCCGCATATCAGCTTAAAATCAAGATAATTGGACGGAATCTTTAAAATCAATTTACATTCAACGTTCAAGAATCAATATTTTCTCCCAAATTTAGCAAAAAGTACCAATTGATGCAAATAACAAAGACGTGAAAATAGTAGGTATGTGTCCAACATTTTAGTTATTCGGCACGCTTTTCCAACATATTCATGTTGGATTTTTCTGCTTGTTTTAATTTGTTGAGACAAAATCACACTAAGAAACTTATCTCGTTGTAAAGGTAGCCTCTTAACTTAGCATAGGGCCAGATTTGACTCAAGTAAACTCTCCATGTTTTGCGAATGGAAGGGTTTTAATAAAAAGCATGTAAAGTAATGTGATCACACTTTGGAGTTGACTTTTGAAAATTTTAATGTGTTTACAGGAATACGTGTAATTTTAATGTGTTCATGGTAATAAACGCAATTTTAATTAAAAAAGAAAAAGAATGAATGTGGCGCTTCATTTCAACCCTGAGGATTAGGCGCAACCCCTGGCTCACAACCCTTTCTACTACAATTCATTACCAATTAGTGGCGAATTCAACTCTCGCTATGTGCAATCATTTTATTTCAATTGGCAACGCCGAGAAGGACAGACATATGACTCCGATTATCTTTCAACCTGCACCAAAGTTTCGGGTAGCGGATTCAAGCCCCTGCTGCTTTTAAAATCGTGCGATTACTCTTAGTTGCAACCCCTTTTTTGCCCCAGCTCTTTTTATTTCACGAAATGTATCCACAACATTTAGATTACAAGTTGCATGCTCACACTGCGGTAGCTCATTCTAATTTTGTTGGGATTTATGTGTGTGCTCACATGAAATTATCTACGGAGGGTGCGAGTTGAACAAAGTTCATTAATTTTGTCGTTCAAGTCCTCCCGTAGATATTTTATACATTTAATAACGGATACTTTTGTAATATATAACCAGCCAGCATTGAGCAGCTGGATTCAGTAAAAACTGGTTATATAAATGCTAAGCATGTATGGTCGCACATCGTAAAAGATTTATAGTAAATCTAATTCAAGCAGCCACGTTCATCATTTTTTGTATCGGTCCATTTTTTTTTTTTTGGACGTATTCAAGCCAAAAGGAACTATCTCCATTCTGACATGGGTCGAGAGACTCAGAAGAAAATATGCAATGTGCATGACAGTTCCCATTTTGTATGATGGAGACCTTTTTTTTCGTTTCAATACGTCCATTTAATCAAGACATAATTACTTTTAATAATCTTTTTTATATAATTTTTTTTGCACCAGAAAAATTGCTATTAAATTATTGAAAGAAAAGCCTAAAGAATAAACGAGGAAAAATTATTCCACATATCATAAAGGTTACGTTTACTACCTAAGTTCACAAAGTAAGCGCACGTCACAGAGCAGGGAATTTGACTACCAAGAGAGTATCAGCGATTGCAATATTTAAGTTGTTATAATGGAAAAATAACGTATCCGTCATCATATTCTTTTTAGAGGGCTGATGCCATGTTTAAAAGTTCTTCTTAATTACATTCTGTTGGTTTCGAAAGATAAACGAGGGGCTTGGAGAACGGGGCGCATAGGTGTAGTTTTTGTTATTTCGAGAAATACGTGTTTGAAGTTTCGAATTTGCATGGATCCTTACGGCGGAAAGAAATTTCAAACTGAATTTTTGATGCTTAAAATTTGGAATTTGGAGGCGAGTTACTCGCTAAGTACGCATTAAGACTAGTTTCACTTGAAATCTTTAATGTTTCAATGTTTTTCAAAAACTGCGCTTATGCGCCTTGGCCTCCAAACCCCTGAAATAATGAGGCTACTTTATTTTATACAATGTTGTTGAATCTTTGTGTCAGTGCCACTTTTTTCATATTTCCGCATTTTTTTTTAATCTTGATTGTAATATGTTTCTACGGCTCAACCTATTGAGAGATTTATTGTGTAAGCTTACAAGGAACATTTGTTTCTGTTTCAGTTTGTAGCGCACCCTAACGTGCAACAACTCCTAGCTTCAATTTGGTACGAAGGACTGCCAGGGTTTAGAAGAAAAAATATGGTGCTCCAAGCTTTAGAGATTGTCCGGATAGGAATAATGTTCCCTCTTTTTTCATTCATGTATATCCTAGCGCCTCATTCCAGTGCCGGACAAACTCTTCGCAAGCCTTTTATAAAATTTATATGTCATTCGGCCTCTTATTTTACATTTCTATGTAAGTATTAGTTTTTCTTATTAATCTTCAATCAACATCTTCACTCATAACCCTCTCTATGGTTCTTTCAATTAATTTTCCTCGAGAACTTCCTTTATCACTGTCTCATTTAGTTCTACTCCCTTGTCAAATATCCAGTTTTGCACGTCATTTAGAGAGGAAAATCACTTGATGCACCTAATAAGGTAAGTCTCGCTCTTCTTAGAGTCGGTCTCCTGATTTTTTTTTTAACAAAAATTACATTTGAGGGGCTTGGAGGACACGACGCACAGGTGCAATTTTTGCTATTTCGAGAAATACGTGTTTAAAAATTCGCAATTACACGGATCCTGAAGGCGGAGAGAAGGTTCAAACTGACTTTTCGATGCTTAAAAATTGGGATTTGGGGGCGACTTTTCCACAGAATATGCATTAAGACAAGTTTTAATTGAAATCATTAATATCTCAATTTTTTCAAAAACTGCACCTATGCACCTTGTCCTCCAAGCCTCTCATTTGAAGCAGTCAAAGTTCTTCCGCACGAGTCAACCGATGCGTCTGGTCTCCGGAACAGAACCATAATTCCTAAATCCACGAGCTTATACCTCCTCTTTGAGGGACACGATCCGCGACGTGAAACTTAAGTATATTTCTTCAATGAAATTTGTTTGAGGATGGCGGGTGTACTTAATGAGCGTATTTTTAGCTCTCGTAATAATTTTCAGCCCTGAAATTGCTTAATCCTCGATTAAGGGAGAGCAAAAAGGGAAGTTATGTTTCGTTAACTGATGAGTGCTAATGAAATCCTGATAAAACTTTCACCCTCCCCGAACGACCCTCCAGACCGTCTTCGCTTCGTTCGCGGTAGCAGCTGAAACTTTTTCTCCAATAATAAGTCACTTGAAAATGATGCCGACGAATCAGGTTTGAATAAAGCTGTGCCCCGGAGCTCAGATACCCTCTCTGCGTTGCCTCATGGCCAGACGGTTTTTTTCCTCGCTCTACACGGAGAAAAAAAACTTCGTGCGTGGGACCCGAAGTTTAGGTCATATAGATCTCTGAAGTTTTCGGATTGAGCATCTGAACACTTTAGGTCCAGCCGCTGAGGTTTGGACCACACATCTGAAACTTCAGTTCTTACATCTGAAGTACTTTGGTTTTCACATCCGAACAACTTCGGTTCTCACATCTGAAGTACTTCAGATGTAAGAACTGGAGTTTCAGATGCGTGATTCGAACCTCGACAGCTAGACCTAAAGTGTTCAGATGCTCAATCCGAAAACTTCAGAGATCCATATGACCTAAACTTCGCGTCCCACGCTCGAGGTTTTTTTCTCCGTGTAAAAGGATATGCATGGGGATTGCGTGCGATGTACTTCCTTTTGGTATAAATACGTCCAATTTATCGACAATGAAACTCCTAAACCATGTATTTCGCTTGCGATGTTTTAAAAATATCCGCTTCTGTTTCATTTTTTTAAAAGAAAACAGATTAACGCCTTAAAGTTTTCTCAGAATTTGCTATGCACAGAGGAGAATACTCCTCACGCGTTTTAAAGAATCCGTCACCTTCCGGCCAAAGTATCGCAAGCGCCATGCGACGTTTCAAAGTATCCGCAGCCATTTTATTTTTTTACAGAGAAATTGTTGGTTGAATCTGTTTGAAAATTTCACTAAATTTTATCGGCAGCACCAAGAAAATTCAATGAAATTTTCGAGCAGCTTCGTTGAAAAATTTCTCTGTAAAAAAATAAAATGGCGGCGGAAATTTTTGAACGTCGCATGACGCACGTGACACTTTGGCCGGAGGGTGACGAATTGACGTTGAGTATTTCTTTCTTCAAGAAGTAAATTATGACTGGAAGTCTGCAACGTCGCCAACTGAGATACATTTCACCACCAATGCGGGGTTAAAGATTTTATAGGAAACTTAGAGTATCTAAAACATCCTGACTAAAGACTTTAATTTAAAAGAATACAGAAAACGTTTGAAATATTTTGAGACGATGCTGAAAACTTCAAAAATATTTGCTGTGGAGAACGTCATTATTTGGTGTGTGCAGAGGATGGAAGACGTTTTCATGCTCATCGGGCATCGAACCCGGAATAGCGTGTTCGGCAGTCGAGCGTCTTATTTGCTCAGCTACTGAAGTTTGTTACAAACTGAGCTAAGGTGAAATTAGCTATACGAGTTTCTTCGCAATGGAGCTCTCCCCGCTACAAATGGTACACCATCAACCCGCCGGGAGCGCTGCGGCGTGCTGCCAACTCGAAACGCGCACTGGCGCCTACAAACCTAAGGGGATACTTCTAGCATTGCGCAATGCGTGAAGTATCCCCTTAGGTTTGTAGGCGCCAATGCGCGTTTCGAGCTGGCAGCACGCGCCGCGCCGCAGCGTGCCATAAACTTGCCCACATTTAATAGGTCAGGATGTTCAAATCTTTGCAATTTGACATCAAATTCGAAATTAGCAACTCAAGAAACATACATAGTAACGAAACTTTTGAGATCTTTCAGTCATTATACGACTTATTTCTTCCTATTCTTAAGTTCCGGACAGCAATTCGCTGCGGGTGGCGGCTCTTGAAATTCTCCCTTGCGCTCAATCGAGCAAATTTTTTCACGCTGAATTTTCCACCCCCGTTATGTACAAAGTAGATACTAGGAGGCTACGGCCCCTGACGGCTTAGCGGTCCAACCCCCCCCCCCCCCCCCCCNGCAGGGCTTCGGGCCTTAGTCGGTTGATGCGTTACGCTTTATTCTAATGCTTTTATAGTATAAAATAAGGTATACGATTTACAAATCAATAATTACAACAAGACTATCTTTATATTTTATAAAAAAAACAGTCCCTGCAAACAGATTCAGGCACATTGCGTATTATTTTCAATGATCGATAATTAAGGTCACACAGTGCCATGGACCTACTCCCCTTCTTGTCGTCACGCAATATACTGCACACTTTCTTTCTTCCCAAGTATATGCCGTAATTTATGCGTGACCTCTTATTGAAGAACCTATTGAACCAAGCCCACATTTGTTTTAGAGTAGAGGGAGGGGCTTGTGCAGTGAATAGCTGCAGTATCGATGACTGAAGTCGTAAAATTCGTCCCTTCAATTGCGACGTTGCAAGTCTCCGCTCATAATTTATTTTTCAAAAAGAAGTTGACCGACGGTTTGCCTCAACTTTTTCCAATAATTTTCCTAATTCCTTCGAGAATACTCAAAAAAAATATCCTTAAGATGTTTTAATTACTTCTATTTTTAAAAAAATAAACCAGAAATAGCAATTTCTAAAGTTGCAATACGCAAATCTTAAAGATTCGCATTTTCCTTTATTGATACAATCGACTTATTGTCAATGTTCATCGAATTAAACTAAATCTGCACTGAAAGCACTTTAAAGTCGAGTTCTCGAACCAATTTTTCTGACCAACGTGATTCACTCCAAATCTTTGATGAAAGCGGATCCATTACGCGTAGAGTTGTTTATCAATTGCTTCTTTCCAAAAAATATATGTTGTGAGCGGTGAATTGAAGCTAGAACTGCGCGGACGCGAAGAATTTCGTTAAAAACTAGGTAAATTGAATGATTAATTTTCGCATTCACATACTTTCAGCTCTAATGAAGGTTTTACAAACGAGATTTTTTAGAATGAACAGCTGAAATATGCTTTTGAGAGTGTCGGAGGATCCGTTTTTTACCAAAAATTTGAAATAAAACAGGATTTTAGCAGAATATATCAAAAATTTACATTTTTGCCGTATCCCGAGGGACCCGAGATTGTCCAATCATCACCTGTGAGCAGGTGACATTCAGTGTTCGACACCTTTGCGTTTGAGGAGCTCACCTTTGAATTTCAGGAGCCATGTGGCGCATCAAGCTCGATTTTTAGGGGCCAGTAAAGATTTTTTAGGGGCCTAATAGACTTTTTGCCTATATACCACGGCACATTTAGTTTTTAAAAAGTTAGACGCAATATGTTTTAGTTACAGAACTAGTAACTGTAACTTGGGGGAAATTTCGAAAAACTACCAAACAGAAAAATTAGGATTTTTTTTTGGACGGGAGAGGGGCAATTTTCAGGGGTCACGTTGGCGCATAGCCTTCTTTTTTTAGGCGCCATGACCGATTTCTTAGGCGCATTGGGCGCGTTGGCTTATGTGAGTTTCGAACACCGGGTGACATCCACTCATTCTCGCGGCAAAACTTGACAACGCGACGCGGTTCTCGACGGGGAGACCGGGATCACTTGTGGTCCCCTCGAATCTCCCTTTTTTACAAGATTAAGCGTTCCCCCGCTCTTGATTCCAAGATAAACAACTCGAAACAGAACTTGGGCCCATTGAACTCGGCGGATTGTTTGCTCAATGCTCGTCAGCCTCAACATACTCGCCCGTAATAAGATTGCGACTAACTCCCGACCCCCGAGAGCTCTGCTTGCATCGGATTTTTCCCCCTCCACCCCTCCCTTAACTTGCAACCACCGTTGAAGGAACGTTGCGTTTCCGTCGGGTTCTTAAGAGCGGCATCTAGAGAGACGAAAAAGAACCAAGAGTTCGGCGAACAAGGGATCTCAGCGTTAGTTACACTGTTAAAAAATTCAGGAGTTCACTTCAATACTCTGCCATGCTAAGGAAAAACGCAGTATGAACCTTCAGGCGTTGCCAAATTTTCTTCATAATAACACGAATTCTCTGGTCAACATATGAATATTTTTCTTCCAATTTTTCAGAGAATATTGTCTGTATTTTGATCTAAAGTTCGTGAAAATTGCTAGGAAAAATATTCATAATTTTCCTCCTAAATAAACATTTTATCAAAGGAAATTTGGCAACTCTCGAATGCTCATACGGCGTTCTTCCTTAGCACGTCAGTGCTATAGTTTGATCTTATGAGCAAAATGTTCAGTGTCACTAACTAATTCCAGCCGGTTGATTGTTGAAATTAGTAGACAAAGCTATAGACAAAGAAGACAAAAGGGATATGGAGGGATCCTATCAGCGGAAATGATTAGTTGCACTTGACAAAGGAGGTTAGTGATTAACTAACTAAAGGTAACCTACGAGAAACCTATAGTTAAACTTTCATTTTCCCCCTTCGTCCATAACAACCACCCGTTTTAACCAATATGATCGCTCCATACTCCCTATGTCTTCTTTGTCTATCGCTTTGTCTATCAATTTCAGAAATCAGCCGGAGCTAGGATCTTCCGTCCCATAGGCGCAGATTGTGGTGCGGGTCCTGCTAAACTACCGCCGTGCTAAAGAAAATCACCGTATAAACATTCGAGCATTGTCAAATTTCCTCCCGGAATTTTTTTTTTTTTTTTTGGGGGGGGGGCGTTATCAATATTTTCTCTTGAAAGTTTTATATAATTTAGATTTAATTACGAAGAATGTTCTCTGAAAAATTGACTAAAAAAAAATTCACGAGTTTTCCTGAAAATACCTATTTAGTCAAAGGGAATTTGGAAGCTGACAAAGGTTCATACGGCGCTTTTCCTTAGCACGGTGGACTACACCTCCTCGGAGAAGGTGGTGGGGGTTGGTGGTGAACTTATTCAGTAGAGGAAGCTCCACGAAGCCTCCCCCAAGAGATAAGATTTGATATTTCAACCCCTTCCAAACGCAATTTGTAGTTTTTTGGTACAAATTGTACGGAATATTTCCCTTTTATGAGTCCATACAAACAAACAATAAAAAATACTAGGTTCGGAAAATGTTGAAGGGAAGGAAAAAAAAACTTCTTGATGCGAAACCTTTTTCAAATCGAACTTTCGATTTGTCAATTTTCGATAATCTTAAGAATCCTCTAACCCAGAATATTAAATACCTGCACTCCGAAAACGCTTACGAATCCTCTAAGCCATGGAGACACGATTTATCACCTTTAAAAAGTTGCAAAATTGGCTCTGACAAAACGCGAATTTTCAAAAAACTTGTGAATTATCTCCTGCATTTTCAGAGAATTCTAGTCGCAAAAATTGTATGTGGAGGTTGAGAATCTCAAGGAAAAATATTCATAATTTTTTATAAAATTAGAAAACGCATTGATGGCAATGTTGCCTCAAACTTTTCATACGGCGTTATTCCTTAACTGGGCAGTGCAAGGAAGTTCTTTAAGTCGCATGACATGCAAAGCCTTCGCTTCGCTACCAGGGAGCAGAAAGCGTGTAATCTAATCCATGTCCATGTTGCAAAAATCCTTTGAAACGGGCTTTGTTCATTATTCCTATCCTGAATTTCAACACAGCGGTTGTATATGATAGATCCTCGATGGTAAAAAAAGAAAGAAAAAAAAAAGGAGCAGAAAACTCTCTCAGCGGAAGCTCAATTTTTTGCAATCCCCAAAGGCGGAAAGCGATATTGCTACGGCTCTCTAAACGCTTTCTGTAACGCCGGGCGTCTTTTTTCGGCTGCTCAATTTGCCGCAAATTGAACGCTTCAACCGAGGAAAGGACGTAAACGCCGCGGTAACACAGCGGCACTTGTGTTCTTTCACCTGCCGTGCTCGAGCGTGCCTCGGGTGTCTTGTGTGTTTTCAAACTCGGATTCTGAGATTGCGATTTCGTCCGTGTTTTAGTTGATGCGCTCGGGAACTGTGCGCTCGCCTGATTTGCTTATTGCTCTTGAGAGCGGATCTTTTTCGTCCTTGACAAAGATCTCTCGTCGAACAGTCCCGTCGTGTGGATATGCGCGGTATGATGAAACAAGTTTTTGCTTGAAAAAAAAAAAGGGTCATCTCCACAAGGGCGTAAACCTTTTTCAGAGGTCCCACACTATTCCAGCAACTGGTTGGAGTGATCTTGATTTGAAATTACAAGAAACATGTTGCAGGAAAAAAATCGGGATTATTTATAGAAACATCGAAAAAATTAAAATATGAAAAGGTATCGGGGAAAAACTGGGTGAGTCAAAAGAATAGATAGCGACATTTTAATTCCGATTTGGCTGGCTTTCATGGAACATGGTAAAAAGATTGAAACAATTGAGCTACAAGCCAAAAATACATCATCAAAATCATCGATAAATAAAACAACTTCAATCTTTTAGAATAGATAGCGATGGCTGAGGCTGAGGTCGAGTAATACATAAGTACCTCCGATTGTAATGTTGCAAGTCTTTGACCATGTTTTACTTTTTTTTTTAAAAAAAAATGAGCATAAGTTCTTATTAATTTTTTCTAACTGAACTCGTTTGTTGTTGTTTCAGTTTTATTAATATTGGCGTCACAACGAATTGAGTCAATTTTAGGTGATTGGTTTCTAAATGGGGAGTCGCCCTCTTACGTTAGTTACGCCAGTAACGATTTGACCAAGAGAGGGTCCCCACCGTCCTTAGTTGAGTGGCTTATTCTAAGTTGGGTTTGTGGTAAGTCTTTTTTATTTTTAAGTTCAGAACTAGAGTCCCTTTATACTGAGAGTCAAGACAATGCGAATCCATTTCTGATTGGTCAACCGGATTTTAGGCCTTCACTGTGTCACAAACGGGAATAAAGATTACATTTTCACCAATTGCAAAGATTATAATCTGGAATGGACCGAGGAATTTCGGGTTCGACAAGGAACAAATTTAAGAATGAGCCGATCAAAGATTACGAAAAACGTTCAATTTGTGTAATCTTTATTCCCGTTTGTGACTCCATGAGGGGTGTTGTCTTGACTCTCAGTATAAAGGGACTCTATTCAGAACCATACCAGACATTCAAGTAGGTGGGCCAGTCGTGTTGGTCGTAACGAATCCATTACTTACTTACACGGAAAAAATGAATTGCTGGCTTTACAATGAAATTGTTAAAAAAAATATGTCCGACATTATTCAAATGTACATTTTACAATAGTGGAAAGCTAATAGGGGTGGTTAAATTAGCATTTTCTTATTGTAAAATCTACACTGAAACATGTCGGACACTTTTTTTGACAACACAATTTTTAAATCAGCAATGAAGTTCTTCGAATCTGGCAAAACAAATGAAGCTTGCCCCAACGCTGCTTAAAAAATATCATTCTGGACAGCGGCGCAGCAAGATTCCTTAGACCTTGATCTCAGCAATCAGGACACTACCTATAATGTTCACTGGGTAAATCACATGTGTCATCTCCGTTAGTTTAAAAGACCATGCATACTTTCGTGACATTTGACTTTATTTACAGAAGGTCTTCGTTAATTTTGACGGATTGCATTTTTTCGATTTTATGTGTTTTTCACCGGTAGGGTTATACGTAGGTATCGCTGATACCGACCACTCCTCTCTCTTTCTAATACAGCATAACAGAGGCTCATCCCCTTGAGCATTATGTAAATTATGAATGCTCCCTGATAGCAGAAAATAGAGCTACGCAGTTTAGCAGTTTCACCATCGATTTGATAGATAGAAGATGAAGTTCCTTTGCTAATAGTATTGAAGGTGAGGATGTTGAAAAAGATAGATTGAATTGAACTTTTCACCACAGGACTGATATGGAGCGAGGTGAAACAATTATGGGACGTTGGGCTGGAAGAATACGCAGCCGACATGTGGAACGTCATTGACTTCGTTACCAATTCGTTGTATGTCGCCACCGTAGCACTTAGGGTCGTCGCACACTTTCAAGTAAGTTCCACTCCTCTACAATCCGGAAAGCTCTGTTCACAAACCGAAATGTTTTAATAAATCTTGAATCTGCTCCTTAATTGAAAGTAATGAGCGTTAAAATTTCAATGCTCATGAGAAAAAAATTGACTCCGTCTGTTTTAGATGTTCTCTCCTTAATTAATGTTCGCTGAGGCCACCGAGAGAAGAACAGAGATCATTGACAAATTTATTTGAATTATGAATTGCAGTTATGAAACAGTTTTTTTAAACGATAACAATGTTTTTATAAAGGTCGATTGAATTGTTTTGAAATTGGATGTATTCCGCTGAAGGAAGGTTACATTCTTCGTTATGTAAATTGTTTATTTTCTAATTTCTTTTTTAACTCCTTCTCAAATAGTGATACTGTCAAATACGAATATTCATATTCCAGTGACTTATTGTAAATGTCCAGAACTTTCTACCTAATTCACCGCAACTTAACAGTTAAGGCATCAATTTTCGAACAAAACTTATGCTATTTCTTTTTTCATTTACATTCAAAGCCTATGTTTTTTTTATTCCATTTCCTTAGACGTCGATTTTTCTTCTAATTCTTAATATCTTCACTTTGATGAAAAGTCTGGATGAGAATATCTGTATCCAAGCTTTTGCTAACCGAGCTTCAAAATGATGACATAGGCATGGTCCCTAATGATCAACATTAATTTTGGTTTGGTAGGGGTCAGAACCAACTTGAATAGGGAGCTTAAAAGTGGTAGCACTCCAATAAATTAGGTTACTAACCCAACTATTTTGGTACTACCTCCAACTTGAGTTGCAGTGCCACAAAAATTAATTAGAAATGCCCATATTATCCAAGAAAATTGGGTAGTATGGGGTAGGTATCCACAATTTTAGGGGATTAGCCTTAATACTTCATCCGTGTCATAATTCATTAAATTATAGTCTCAATCAATTTTTATCGATTTAAAATTAAAATTTTTAATTTACACATTAGTCAATTTTTCTGAATAAAAATTTGTTTCAGGTACAAAAAGAAATGAAATTAAAAATGCGGACGGAAGACGTTCCGAGAGAAGAATGGGACACGTGGGACCCCATGCTCATCTCCGAAGGCCTTTTTTCTGCAGCAAATATTTTTAGGTAAATATTTTTAGGTATTTTTAGGTTTATTACAGGTTTATTGAGGGTAACATGACATACACAGTCATGACATTCGTGATTTTTCAGACGCGTGCCCTGACTCACAATTGGAAAAGTCATCGGTCCCATCATTACCATATCAGCCGTTCATGTCATCATCCAGTCAGAGAATTCTCTTTTTTCCTTCATCATTAATCCACGCCAATGCGAATACTAAACCGAGAGAAAAGAGTTCAACCCCTCGCAAAATAAACAATTCAATCCATGCTCCAGTAATTAAACGGAGCTGTTAATAAAATGGAAATTTTTCACCAGTGCGGCTTGAAAATTCTTCCACTGAGAATATACGGAGGCAGTTTTCATTACAGGCACGTAAAAACCATCTTCATCTCAGGGAAAAGGCGTGTCTCGTTTTTACTCCGAGTCGTAAATTGTGAAACTTAATATTCTATTTTTCCTTCAATGAATATAATTTAACGACTGGTGTTCATTTGTTTTGGGCCATTTCGTCAAGTTCGATTTTTTCTGGGAAAACTAATCTACACTTTCAATCAGCTCAGACCATCTCTTTTTTCGTTTTACAATATTTTTATATTTACTTTCGCTCTTTATTGCTCTATTAATTAATAGGGCAAAGGATGGAAAAAAAGGAGAGTCTGAACTTCTTAGTAGCTTTTCAACTTACATTTTGTAGAATATCAAATGTCATCAATCCCATTAACTTCTGAATTTACCATACTTCTCTGTTTAGAGTACAAGGAACTCATCTTAATGAATTTAGCCAGCTGTGAGGAATTTCGAGACGCGATTCAAAATCGCCTTAACTTTGTTCTTTGAAATTTCCCTATGCATGCATGCTCAAATTTTAATACTTTAAGTGCGTCCCCATGGAGATTTCAGGTCCAAGAAGTTCCAAAGAATGTCTTAAAATTTCAGCATTAAGCCATTTACTTTTGTAAAATTGCAGAGACTGTAATTGTCGGGGCGAGGCCCCTTTTTCGTTCTGTGAACTAGCAGTTAGTTCTTTTGGGTTTGAAAAACCCTGATTTTTCGTATCGTTTTCATAGCATTTTTTCTTGTATGATTTTTTCTCGCACCGCGTCAAGGACGGCGCATGCGGCACGTGTTGGGCCACGTGCGGTCCACGAAAGTTGCATAAGCGGTTATGCAACGGAACTTTCCATCGATTCGCGGCACGTGCGCCTCCACGTGTCGGCCACCTTCGTTACATAAGTGCGTTATGTAACGGAATTTTCCATCATCTCAGCGGTTATGCAACCACTCTTATATATGCTCGGCCACATCAGTTGGTCATCGCCACTCTGCCACTCTCAGTCCCTTGGACTACACGGCACTCCGCCACTCTGTCTCATAGACTTCACGCTAGTACTTACTGTCTCTCTGCAGTTTTGCTACACTCTCTCTCCCTCTCGAGCACGCCTGATTGGATGCTCATCTCTCTCACTCTCTCTCCCTCGAGCACGCCTGATTGGATGTTCATCTCTCTCTCTCTCTCTCTCTGACTCACTAGAGCACGCCAAATGTGGATGCTCTCCTCTCGTTCTCTCTCACTCTAGAGCACGCCAAATGTGGATGCTCTCCTCTCGTTCTCTCTCTTTTTGAGCACGCCAAATGTGGATGCTCCCTTTTCTTTCTCTCTCTGTTTGAGCACGCCAAATGTGGATGCTCCCTTTCCTTTCTCTCTCTTTTCGAGCACGCCAAATGTGGATGCTCTCTTTTCTTTCTCTCTCTTGTTGAGCACGCCAAATGTGGATGCTCTCTTCGCTCTCTTGCACGTTTGAGTACGCCAGGTACTCCCTTTTGCTCTCTCTCTTTTCTCCCGGGCGCTCGCTGATGAAACCCGCACCGACTGTCTTATGACGTCATCGCGACTCTGAGAGCGCCCACAATCCCTTTGGTAGATTGGCCTGGTCCTCCGAGTTCTCTCTCTGGCTGGGGCCGCGACATGGTCCTCCGAGCCGGATACTCTTTTTAGTTATCAGATCCGAAATATCAATATTAGGCTCTTAAATAACTAATACGTACTTAGCGACTAGTTTTTAAGTCTCACTTCTCTCTCTTTTTTGGGTATTTTTATATTTGCTCATTTTGACCACGATGTCATCTCTGAAAGCTACTCAGCTTCAACTCGAAAAACTTTTCAGTAGAATTCAGCGTTTTCACGACGAAATTAAGGATTTAAAATCCACTAATGCTGAGGACTTTTTGGTTCGCACAGCAAAAATTGACGAACATTTTGCAGACTTCGAAAATTATGCTCAGAAGTTTTGGGAATTTTCTATGCAAGACGCCAAAACTGAAGCCGATGAAAAGTTATGTTCAGATTCTTATAAGCAAAAATGCAAAGCGTATGAGGATCTTTATTATATTGTTGCACAAGCCGTTCAAAGGTGCAAAAAGGCAGTAAAGTCATCAGAAACAGCTGAATCACTTAGGGCTAGTTCAGAAGTCCGACTTCCGAAAATCGATCTTAAAACTTTCGATGGCACGCGAAAACAATGGCAGGTTTTTTATGAAAATTTTAAGTCATTAATTCATGATAAAAAATCCTTAAGCGGATTGCAAAAACTCACGTACTTAAGTTCAGTTCTTAAGGGTCACGCTGAAAGTTACGTTAAGAACGTTCCAATAACTGAAGCAAATTATGCTATAGTTTGGAAAAATTTGGTCGATCATTATCAAGACATTAGGGCTTTAGGATCTGATCTTTTGGACACGATGCTGACTTATCCTCCTATGCAAACTGCTAATACAACGTCCCTGAATAATTTAATACATTCATTGAACGATTTAGTTGAAGCTTTGAAAAACTTGAAGTTCGAAAAGCTCGATGATTTCATATTGCTCAACATCGGCTTGAAAAAGTTACCATTTCATGTAAGGAGACTTTTTGAAAATGAAGTTAAGGGCGCGGATGTCCCTACTTTTAAGGAATTCATGGACTTTTTACGCAAGCAAGCAAAAATTGCAGAGCTGACACAAACTTCTAACAAGGATGAAAAACCGAAGACCCAGCTTCCACAAACTAAAGTATTTCTCAACTCTTTGAAAAATCGAGGTTGTCCAGTTTGCAAAGGCTCACATTCGATTTACATCTGCGACGAATTTAAACGTTATCCTGTTCACGTCAGAATTGAGCGCGCTAAGTCGCTGAACCGTTGCCAGCGCTGCTTAGGAACGCATGAGGATGAATGTAAGAGTAAATTTGCCTGCAAAGAATGCAATCAAAAAATTCACCATACGCTCCTGCATTCAAACGAAAATAGCTCACCCAATCCTGCCATAACTCAAAATGATTCTACCTCTGAAGAAAATTTCGAAGATCAAAAATCAAGCATTATGTTAACAAATCTACAAGCCACATCAACGGATCATCAAGACTTTACTGCACTACTCGGCACTGCTCTCATCACAGTGAAGGATATCAATGGAAAATATCAGCACATGCGCGCAGTTCTTGATTCCGGTGCTATGTCATCTTTTGTCTCCGCTGATTGCGCCGAACGCCTCGGGTTGCCACTTCTTCCCGATAATACCAGCATCTCAGGCTTGGCTGAAAGTCACGTTAACTCTCTAGGAGCCATAAATTGCTTAGTGAAACCTAGGCAAACTGATGAGCCAAAGTTAAGAATAAGAGCTATCGTGATTCCAGTCATCACGGAAAATCTGCCATGCGTCAAGATATCGAATGAAGTGAGACAATTTTGGAGCAAGTTGAACTTAGCAGATCCCAGTTTTGATGATACTAATGCCAAAATTGACATGCTTTTGGGCTCGGAAGTTTTTGTACGGATTGTTTCAGGTCAAAAGAAAATAACTAATGATTTAGGTCATGCTCTTCAAAGTATTTATGGCTGGGTGCTCATGGGAAAGGTTCCCACAGAAAATGTCCCGAAAAAGCAGACTACGTTTCTCATGACAGAAAATAATGAAAATTTTCGAAAAACTGTCACTCACAGTACAGCGTCAGCTCCATTTTTGGCAAACAGAACTCTCAAACAATTAGTTCTTGGCGAAAATAATAATATTTCAGAAGCTGCATGTCTTGTCATTAATGAAGAAACCTACCTTAATGACTCCCTCCCAAGTTCAAAATCAATCGCTGAAGTCATCAGATTAAGGGACGAAACACATCACCTATACAGCCGAGGTCATTTTTACCCCAAGCAATGGGCAAAAAACCACACAGAAGCAATAAAAGGATTGCCTGAGGCCGAAATCGCATTGCCCTCTGAATCAGTCAATTTTGATAAATATGGTGAAAATTCAATGGAAAATTTAGGCCTAAAAAGGACACCTGTGACATACACGTTTTCATATAATAAAGAATTAAAACCAGACGTAAAATTTTTCGTAAACTCCGCCAGACCACCAGATTTAGCGGAAATTGAACTGATCGAAGAGAAAAAACCGGTAAAATACTTCGCTTCTCTGAACCCTTTCCTTGACCCCCAGGGTTTTCTCAGGGTGGGGGGTAGATTGTCTCACTCCACCCTAGATTATGTCCCAAAACTCCCGGTTATATTACCTCCCAAATTCAATTTGCACCGCGTGATTTGTAACGAAAAATTGCCAATGAATCAATTCCTCACTCTTCTCTGCAAAATAGAAGCAATTTTAAATTCTCCGCCTTGTGCCCCCTTTCAGCCGATACGGAAGAACTTTCCGCTCTGACCCCTGCACGTTTTATGGTTGGGGCGCCTTCTTTAAGTCTTCCAGAATACAACTGGACGCTCACTCCAAGTAACCGCCTCTCTCAATGGCAAGCAATCCAAAAAATGTCGCAACATTTTTGGGAGCGCTGGTTTGCGGAGTATCTGACAACTCTGCAAGCTCGTCAAAAATGGACCGCGGAAACTGATTCCCTCAAAGTTGGGGACATTGTTATTGTTAAAGAGGATAACATGCCGCCGCTTAGCTGGGCTCTTGCCCGTGTGACCGCGCTTCACTCAGGAGCCGATAACGTTCCGCGCGTGGCCACAATCAGAATCGGCAATAAGGACATGCGCAGACCAGTAACTGAGCTCTTCAAGCTGCCGGCGGACTAATTTCACGATCAGCGTCCCAACTTCAGTGTCATTCTGACTGCTTCAGGTGACACCCAGAGCGCTCGCTCTGATCTCTTATGCTCGTCGTCGTCGTTTTTAAACTTTACTCTTCGTGGTTCTAAAAATGTATTTCTCGTCTTCTTTAACTCTCTCTCTCTCTCTTGCACGCCAAATGTGGATGCAAGAGATTTCTCTTCTTTTTTGATTTCTCATTCTGTCTTTCTCTCTCTCTCTCTCTCTTGCGTGCCAGATGTGGATGCAAGAAGAGTCTCCTCTTTTTCTAGCTCTCTACCTAAAATTTTCTAACTTCTCTGTCTCTTCCTCTCTTGCACGCCAAATGTGGATGCAAGAGACCCCTCTTTTTTTCTCTCTCTCTCTCTATTTCAGCTCGAAATTTTCTCCTTAAAATTGTTATTCTTAGGCTTGCACGCCAGATATGGATGCAGTCTAACTTAAATTTCACTTAAATTTTCTCTTCCTTGTTACGCCAGCTTTTATAATTCAGTCTTCATTTTTCTGCAATCATGTTCTTACGTCTATATGTTACACCTCGTCAGCCTGACAGAATTTTTTCTTTCTCATTACTTAAAGGATGTCTCCCCTCACGGTGGGGGGTAGGCACCCAATTGCAGGTATTTATTTTTTGAATGTAATTTACACAGGCGCTTTATTTTCTCATTGTCGGACCCAGGTTGACAGGTCACAAACTCACTACTAATTATCTAAATATTTCTGTATTGTGTATGTTGAAATTTTTGTACCTTATGCTCACTCCAACGAACTCAGTGACTTAATTTAAGCAAGGCATTTTTTCATATGGGGGGATACGGCCTCTCAGCTTGGGTAGCCAGGTAGGGAGCCGTGGGTTCTTGTAAATGCACTTGCGCTCATTTAGGTGGGGGGTATGTCGGGGCGAGGCCCCTTTTTCGTTCTGTGAACTAGCAGTTAGTTCTTTTGGGTTTGAAAAACCCTGATTTTTCGTATCGTTTTCATAGCATTTTTTCTTGTATGATTTTTTCTCGCACCGCGTCAAGGACGGCGCATGCGGCACGTGTTGGGCCACGTGCGGTCCACGAAAGTTGCATAAGCGGTTATGCAACGGAACTTTCCATCGATTCGCGGCACGTGCGCCTCCACGTGTCGGCCACCTTCGTTACATACGTGCGTTATGTAACGGAATTTTCCATCATCTCAGCGGTTATGCAACCACTCTTATATATGCTCGGCCACATCAGTTGGTCATCGCCACTCTGCCACTCTCAGTCCCTTGGACTACACGGCACTCCGCCACTCTGTCTCATAGACTTCACGCTAGTACTTACTGTCTCTCTGCAGTTTTGCTACACTCTCTCTCCCTCTCGAGCACGCCTGATTGGATGCTCATCTCTCTCACTCTCTCTCCCTCGAGCACGCCTGATTGGATGTTCATCTCTCTCTCTCTCTCTCTCTGACTCACTAGAGCACGCCAAATGTGGATGCTCTCCTCTCGTTCTCTCTCACTCTAGAGCACGCCAAATGTGGATGCTCTCCTCTCGTTCTCTCTCTTTTTGAGCACGCCAAATGTGGATGCTCCCTTTTCTTTCTCTCTCTGTTTGAGCACGCCAAATGTGGATGCTCCCTTTCCTTTCTCTCTCTTTTCGAGCACGCCAAATGTGGATGCTCTCTTTTCTTTCTCTCTCTTGTTGAGCACGCCAAATGTGGATGCTCTCTTCGCTCTCTTGCACGTTTGAGTACGCCAGGTACTCCCTTTTGCTCTCTCTCTTTTCTCCCGGGCGCTCGCTGATGAAACCCGCACCGACTGTCTTATGACGTCATCGCGACTCTGAGAGCGCCCACAATCCCTTTGGTAGATTGGCCTGGTCCTCCGAGTTCTCTCTCTGGCTGGGGCCGCGACAGTAATCTCGGAAGTTAATTTAAGTTAGAAGTTTGGCAAAACAGGAAACAGTTGGAAAATAAACGCATTTTTTTTACGCGTTAGTTTGTTCACAAGTCATCGATGTCTTTTCATCTGATGATAAATGAAGTGAAAAGATTGAATAATAGTCGTGGGTACAAAGAGCTTTCTTAACTTCCCTCGGCAAAAGTATTTAATCGGGAGAAACGTGGCAACGTTGGAATGCTCACACGGCGGCGTTGAAACACATTCACGACATTGGCCTTTTAAGCTCTATTATTAAATGCCACGATTATTCTAACGTGAGTTCAAATAATCGCGCCGAACATAGTGCGGCTGGCGTTAAACGTATATTAGCGCCTGCAAGACTTTAGGAATACCTCACGCATTGCGCCAAACAGTGCGGTCGGCGCACAGCCCATATTAGCGCCTACAATACTGCATGAATACTTCTCGCATTGCGCCAAACGTACAGCAGTTGGTCAGTTGGTGTGAAACGCATTTTGGCGCCTACAAGACTGTAGGCATGCAGTAGGACTGCGTGTCATCATTCTTGACTTTCTGCTACAGTTTTTACCATAATTAAAGGAAAAAGAAGTATCTTCTATGTTACGATTCAGGAACTCGGATTTTTTCTTCTTCTTCTTCTTCTTTGTTACATTAAAAAAATAGAACGAACGAAAATATTGTGTCGAAATTTTCGATACTTTTATTTGAGATCCTTTCGATAAATTCGCGTTAACTTTTCATAAAAACTGCGTGTAACTTTTTTATAAAAAAAGTTTTAAAAATAAAACATTGAAGCGGTGCATAACGTTTCAATCAGAGAATAATACACATACGCTTTCTTCGGATGCAACCGTCGGGTTCTGAATCAATTCATCTTCTAAAAAACTTGAAAACGGTTGTTCTACAATTTTTTACGCGTAGTTTTTTCATGGGTTGGCGGCCGCGTAGTGGCCACACGCCCCTAGTTCACTTTTTAAATGTCTATGATAGCATTGATAGCTCTCTGGGCCAGTCGTGCTGCGAGGGCCCAAAGTAGTCCGCGATGTAATTATCTACCACAAACTACCAAGGTTGCCAGATTAACGCTTCCTCGTTGAATATCGATTATTCGCGCAAACATGTGAGTTTTTCAGTACCAGAAAAATTCACGCAAAATCTCATGCGTCTCCAAAAAGGTATAAATGGGGACATTCGCGCAATCCTATATCGCAGCCTTTCAAATTTCCCGCTTGGTAAAAAAACACAAATCAATAATAGTCATTGTAAACAAATTTATCACAAGATTAAAAAGACTAAGTCAAGTTTTACATGAAATCATTTCTCCTGCCTTCAGACACCTAGTATTTTTAACTTCGTAAAGAGCGATTCAGCACTGCGGGGGAAAAAAATTCATCGTTGAGATTAGTTCTGAACCCAAAGAATTCCAACAGATTTGGAAATTGTAATCATGTTTTCCTCAACAGTCGTTGCTACGGGGCTTATTGTATTTTGCAAATGTATTTCAAAAGTTTTAATAGTCCACAGAACACTATCAAATTAAAGAAGGATACATTGTGCCGGTGGATCGACACCATTAATCATTCTTAATTTTTACGAACTGAGAGGTCTATATCTCTTTTATCTCTCGCGGCCGCGGCTCTTAAAGCTATTCCGACAGGGAGCTCAAGTTTCATCTCAGGGCGGGCGAGCATATGTTGTTGAGAATTTGACAGGCACAAGACAGTGTGAACCATTTATTTCTTGCCGGCGCCAGTCTAGTCCAACAAGCGCGAGGCTTCGAGGCGACTCGCTTCCTCAGCTGAACCCATACTATGTTTCATTAGAGACGTGCGGACACTAATACTTTTCCTTCTTAGCCGCTCCGAGTATGGAGTGACATGTAGATGAAGAAAAACACCAAGCTCCTACGATATGTACACTCAATTTAAGGCCCAAATGCCCTGAGAAAAAAACACATTGTATCCAGAGCCCAGACTCTTGAAAACATTGACAAGAAAAAATACTCATGATTCAATCGGATTTTTGCTTGAATCAAAACGAAATCCGCTTAAATTAAGAGGCTCGGTTCTTGATTTAAGCTAGATTCTGATTGAATCAAGAGTACTTTTTCTTGTCGATGTTTTGAAGAGTCTGAACTCTAGATCCAATGTGTTTTTTTTTCCAGTGTGAAAGGGACGAGGGATACATTTAACAACACATGGTACCATACACCATATGTATGGTAAATTCTACCTTTGAAAATTTCTGTTGGCTAATTTAATCTCCAAATTGTACGCGGAACAAATGTAATAATATAAAACGGCATAATTTTCAAAGAGACTTCCCTGATTGAGTGCCTTTCTTCGATAACCCGTGATTCCATATTTAATTACACATTTTGTATGTTTCAGCTCTCTTAAACTTGTGTATATATTTTCTGTAAATCCTTACTTGGGCCCACTACAAGTATCTTTAAGTCGAATGGTGCTGGATATAATGAAGTTTTTTTTCTTATACGTCCTCGTCCTTTTTGCATTTTCTTGTGGTAAGCAATTCTATCAATCCGATAGATTTCTATAATCGTAAATACTTATCGTCAACTTTTTTTCAATTAGATATTATTTTAAAATATGTTTGTACCCTTCAACAAGACGCAAAGTGCACTTTAAAAAAAGTTACGGGCTTCATAGACTTACCGTCCGTTCCGGTCTCGGAGTCCGAAACTTCCGGGTGCTGGAGCCGTAGCTTCGATTGTTCCGGGTGCTACGCCCGGAAGTCTCGGCCTCTAAGCCCAGAACACGGACGGTATGTCTATATAGCCCGCAAATACGGCTTCAACAGCCGGAATTTTTTTTTTTTTTTTTTTTTTTTTTTTTTTCAGTAAAGCAGTACATGCATAAAGCGAATGGTCTCCGACGGTAGTAGATTTATTTTGATTCTCTGAAGGTGCAGTATTTTCCATCATTACTTTCCAAGCGCCTATAGGAAGTGAATTCTGTCTTCCTCCTTCTAGGGATATATTGAGAAAGTTTTTATAAGGTTTCCTTTGAACACATTTCCATTAGTGCACTTGAGAATACTAAGTTAATACAAGGGTAGATTTTCATGTAAATTTCCTTAGTTTATATTTCAAGAAGTACTAATGCTAGAAAAAAATCAAACAACGAAATGAGCTGGATTATTCCAGCTGACACACGCCGCACTAAGCTGAAACATGTTTATACATGTTGTTTCAGCTTAGTGTCAAGCTACCGCATTCTTTTTTTTTAAAAAAAATCGGGCCAAGCCGTTATGGAAAAACGGCGATTTCACCATACTCACCTCTCCGCCAAAAGTGCTCACCTCTTAGGCTGAGTAGGATCTCACGTTAACAATTATTCGATGTCTTTCAAATAGTAAAAGTCAATCTTTTTAAGTAATCGGAAGAGTACCAAGATTGTTTCTTGGCTTTGAAACTCACTCTTCCACTCACTGACCCGAAAGAAACTTGCACTTTTCACAAAAGAGCAGTAGCCTCTGCGCAAACTCTTAATTCAGATTCTTGGACGCTCTATGAGCCTTCGGACGTTGCCAAATTTTCCTTGACAAAATACTAATTTTTGAGAAGAGTTAAAAATATTTTTCCCTGAAATTCTCAGTCGATGAAATGGTGGTTAAAATTGGAGAATAACATTAAAAAATGTCGCTGAAAATCGGTATTTTATCAATGGACATTTGGCGACGTCTGAAGTCTCATATGGCGTTTTTTTTTTCATGTAAGTTGTTTTTTCAAGTCTGTGGTGATGCCTAAAAACAATTTTATCACTTTTTTCAATTATTATATTTTACCAAACAAGGTCACAAACCCCAACCTCTCGGTGCTTTTGCAGGTATGAATCAATTACTGTGGTATTACGCGGACATGGAGAAGCAACGATGTCCGAACGCGACGTCATCTTTCGATCCGAAAAGTGTCAGCGATCCCGATGCCTGCCTCGTATGGCGTAGATTCTCCAAGTGAGTATCTCATCAATTTTCGACTTTTCCCATTATGAAGGACAGGTTCCAATTGGAAGGGTCCTTTTCGGCCCTAGAATTGTTCCGAAGTCTTGAATGCGCAAAACAAGTTTCTGCGTGGCATATTGTAAAATTTAATGACATTTTAAACCTCTGGCTCAGTTTTGAAGTTGTGTTACACGATGATGGTTGAAATCCGTCGTGCAAAGTTGGGTTTTCCCTTTGGTTCATCCCGAAAATAAGCGAGTCAAGCGAACTTTTCGATGCGCTTGCATCGAGTACTTGTATATTTTTTTGCAATTCGGAATGATACTTTCTTGCTCATCTGTAAAAACACTTACGTGTATAGGAAAACAAACAGCACATACGTTGTTTTTTAACCGAGTCAGAAATTGTAGTTCTTAATCACAAAATGTAGTTCACTTAACTGCGAGCGGAAATGTGGTTTTTTTTTCCTTTTATAATGCAATCAATGGCAAAGTCCAGTAAAACAAGCTAATTTAAGACCTAACCATTTAAGATGAAAAACGACTTAATCAGCCAAAACACATGATAAAATAACTTCTTAATTTGAGGAAAAGTCTGCAAAAGAAGAGGAAAAACAGAAGATATTGTTTTTACAATATTAGTTTATTTTTTCCCTGTTTTTTTATGTAATTGTAACATTTCGAAACGTTCCGGGTTTTATTTTTATTAATTCTCATTTTTTTGCTGGCTTTTTCCCCAAATTAAGTTGCCATTTTTTAAGACTACCTTTCCCCGTAAGTAGCTAGTGTAATACTTGGATAGCTCTTAAGCGTGGCAACGAATAAAAAAACGAAATTGAGGTTAACAACTTTACCAGTGCCCACATCGGAGGAATAAAAATTCGCAGTTAATGACGAGAAAAAAAACGCATTATCGAAATCAAAAGTTCACCGCGGGTGTCTACATCCGGCGGAAAGGCGGAGGATCTTAGACTCATCGCCCCACTGCTACTGATGCGTGTGGAAAAGTGCGCGCGGCGCAGCGCCCTTAGCGAGGCCAAAATTGAAACAAAACAAAAGCGAGACAGGGAACGTAGGGTAAATAAACGCATCAACAGAGACTAAGTCGTCTGTCAGAAAAGGATAAAGTTAACAGCGGGTGAGCTCGTCGAGAAGATGAAAGGCTGGCCAAGTTTTTCGGACCAACACATTCGAAGAGTTGCCGCATTCTGTGAAAGTTTCATTTTTCACAAGATGATTACCGACTCACCTCAGTCACACTGAAATTTCCGAGCGCACCGAAATTACAAAGTCACGGGCGTTATAGACATACCGTCCGTTCCGGGCTCAGAGACCGAAAGTTCCGGGTGCAGGAGCCGTAGCTTTAACGGTTCCGGATACTACAAACACAGATTACTTAAGTCACAGAGTTTTTCATTAAAATCTTACAACTTCACTCGTCATTGCAGGCTTTAAAACGTTTTACACTAGATGTCTCTGTACACTCTGTTTGAAAATACAAACGACTTGTGAGACACAACTATTTGTGCGTTCCAGAATATAATTGCATACTCAAATAAATCAAGGCGTTTTGACAATCGCACATCACTCCACATGTAATAAATTCAATCCCATTGAAAGTGTTCACACTTGCAACGTCATGGCCTACATACATTATTTATATTTATGGATCAGAAAGACATTGATCCTTGATTACGAAGAAACTGTCTTGGTACGATGACACACTGAACAATTTCGGCCCACATGTCCAAAGAGGTCATTCTTCTCTAATTTATATCTGGTAATGACTCGCCGATAGAAATGCGGCGTCCAAAATCAGGACAAATAAAAACCCGCCGCGGGTTTTTACGATTGAGCACCGTCACCACTGACCAATCGCCACTATGATCATGGATTGGAAAGTCATTTGATGGATGACTCCCGCATGTCAAAAGAGGTCATGCGACTCTAACCTTTCTCTGTTAATGACTTGCTGATGGAAATGCGCAGAGACAAGAGACCTTCCACTGGTATCTTGGCAATGGTGGGAGCTTTTACTTTCGGGACTTCAGCATTCTACTGTTGACTTACCTGCATGGTTGATGTTTAACAACGTGTTGGGAGTTTCGTTTTGCAAACAAGCCGAAGTTCGGGAAACTTGTTTGGCTCATAACGTCACCCGAAGCTCATCATCCACCATGTAGGGGAGTCAAAAGCCGAAATAAGAGTGATGACTGTTGCCCCTTTATAATTTTCCATAAGGAATTGTTGAATCCCCGAAAGTAAAAGCTTCCACCCTTCGCCAAGAGGCCAGCGGGCCGATTATTGAAATTGATAGACAAAGCTATAGACAAATAAGACAAAAGAGATTTGGAGCGATCCTATTGGTGGAAGCGGGTGGTCGCAATGGACAAAGGACGTTGGCAATAGACTAACTAACAGCAACCCATGAGGGACCCGATAGTTAGTCCATCATTTTCTCCCTCAGTCCATAGGACTCACCCATTTTATCCAATACGATAGCTCCAATCTCCCTATGTCTTCTTTGTCCATCGCTTTGTCTATCAATCTCAATAATCAGCTTGCAGTGGAGCTTCTCTTATCTCTGGAAATGCGGCGTCCAAAATCAGGACACACCGCGTTTTTACACGATTGACCCGACCCACTGACCGATCGTGGATGCGAGATTGACGTTGTATATACCTGCACATGAAACAGAATTTCCCTTTGAATCTTTAGCCCTTACACTCCTTTTGGTATATCGCTAAGGTCATCAACTCCGACCGACCAGTCATAAGACGCCTTCTTTATTGTCTTGTCTCAACCAGTTGGCAAATACAAAATTTAAAAAATCAAGCTGTTAGATAGACTTTCCACGGGAGGTCTCCCCCCAAATTTACGAAACAAAAATCCTGCTGTCTTCAAATTTTCCACGTTGATGACGTAAATGACTGACGTCCGGTTATTAGGGGAAGAGAGATAGCCAAAGGGTTCTTGACATGTACCTTAGTATAGGGGAAGTATGATCAAGCCGAACTTGACATCAGACTCAAATCGGCAGAGAATCTAATCAGTGGCGTGGCGTGCTTTGCGATATATCGATTAAACCATGCCATTATATGTCATTTAAACATATGGAAAAGGATCGATAAACAGGATGTTCGCAGCGAACACCTTCATAATCGATTCTTTACCATAGGTTTGAATGGTAGATCAATCGATGTATCGCAAATCACGTCACGCCATGAATCCAGTCGGAAACGCCGAGAAGCGCCGATTTTTCGGGATTAACATTTAAAGAGAATGAAGCTGATACGATATTAAGGTAATATTTATGAGGGGTAGAGGGGGTTCATGCTGCCTGCCATGTACCTGACATGAAGGGAGGAGGGTGAAAAATTGAAAAAAAGCCTGAAGGAGTGTCAGGGACGGACTCTTCCACGGGGTTAATTGCCGCGTCCCGAAGGACGCAGGCCGCCATGGATTGCGTTATGCAGAAAAGGAGGAAACCCTAATATTCCTTGTATTATCACAGGATTCACAAGAGTGAATTTATAAGTAGGATCGTCATGACAATTGGCTGAAAATTACTCAATTGATGCTTGAGATATACAGTCCGTGGTGCCGAACCTCTTCAATTTTTCAATCTCTTGGAGTAGCCTGGGGAGAATATTGCCGGTTTTATCCTTTTGGTGAAAGAAATTTGGGACGCTCTCTGATTGACTCAACCAATGCTCGACAATCCCAAAATGGTGGAATCCAAAAAAAAAATTCATCGAAAAACGATATCATCCTCTGCGCTTTGACTTCAGAATCTTTAATATAAAAATTAAGGCCCCTCTCCGCCATATTTTTTTGAGCTGCTGCGCAATTTGAACGTATTGTAGATGTATTGTAGTATACTAGAACGTATTGTAGTATACTAGAACGTATTGTAGTATACTAGAACGTATTGTAGTATACTAGAACGTATTGTAGTATACTAGAACGTATTGTAGTATACTAGAATGTTAAGGGCAGATTGAAATCAAAAATCACGTTTAATCGGCGAAGCGCTTAAAAGACTTATCTTGATCCATTATACGTACGAGGAAAAAATTAAATGTTGATTTAGCATTTATATTGTTAAAAAAATGTCCGACAAGTTTCAAATGCTGATTTTACGTTTGGAGAAATGCTAACTTAACTACGCCCACAGTAAAACGAACAAATTCAAATGTTGTGTTAGCATTTTTTTATAGTAAAATCAGCATTTGAAACTTGACGGGCTTTTTTTTAACAATTTAAATGCTAAACCAGCATTTAATTCTTCCGTCTTAGATACGTTCATGCTGTTTGGGTGTTAAGCCCTGAAAAAGCCTGTAAAGCTTGTAAGTCGTGTAAAGCGCGACACAAATCAATCCCTCATGGTGCCCTCCCCTTCTTTTCTAATATTATATAGCGTCTTCTCCCGGACAAAGGAACGTAACTCAATTCCGAGATTGTCTGCAAATTGACTCCAAAAATCAATTTATTCTACAGACATGTACCTGTGCAATTTTCATCCAAAATTTCCCTAATTTTTGCATGGAATCAGAGGAAAAATCGGTGAAATAATCATTTCGATTGCCTGAGATTCTCCTGGTTCAAATGCAATTTGCGCGAGGAAATTTGGCAACATTGAAATGGAGTTACGTTCTTTCGTGAAAGAAAATTACGATAGTGCTATTCTACGAGTACAGCAGTGGCGTGGCGTGCTTTGCGATATATCGATTGTTATGCCATTTAAACCTATGGAAAAGGATCGATTAACAGGGTGTTCGCAGCGAACACCTTAATAATCGATTCTTTACCATAGGTTTAAATGGCTTAACAATCGATATATCGCAATTCACGCCACGCCACTGGAGTACAGGTCATTTCGGGGTGCTTAACGACCACCATCACGAGCTAAATTTTGTCGTAAGCTCCGAGGAGCCTTTCGCTCGAACAGACGCTTCGAGTAAGTGACGACGCGATTTTTCATGGAAGCGGTGGAAGAGCAGGCAACGCCATGACGCTGTTAGCGATTTAATGAACCTAGAAAAAACTGAGTTATAAATTGTTTTTTCAGTGAGAGATGCTTCAGATAAGTAATGGCCCTAAACGGTTAAGAATGACAGCGAGTTTCATAATTTATACTTGAAGCCTCGTTTTTGGATGAGACTTCCATCCGCGGCGGCTAGGGCGCGGAAACACCGCACAGTGGATCGAGTCAGTGGAAGAGGTCGGACGAAATTTGGAAACTTTAAAAGTTGATAACTCCGTTTATACAACATTTTGAGATTTTAAAAGTGGTTTCATTGGTTTCCTCGTGAAATTTCCTTTTATGAGCACCCCTGAAAATACAAAATGTGACAAAGTAAACGTGAAAATTTGCAGTTTTAGTCAAAAATTTCATGTTCGTTCCTCTGATTGACTCGATCCATTGTGCGCCGTTGTATTCTTCAAGGCGATCGTTCCGCAGGGTGAAAGCTGCCCCTTTGTGCTTTGGCAACCGTGTTTTGGCTCATGAAACGGAGCAGGATGGAGAGATGAACGGATAAAAGTGCTGCTGCGTGCAGTCATTAACGGCGTGGATTCTTAACCTTATTCACAACTTTCTCAAATCGCGGAAGCTCGGTTTTCATCAAGCACTCGAATGAAATTTGGGAGACGTCTTAGTAGATGGTGGTGCTTTCTTTCGCAGCAGATTTTGATAAAAACTCAGGATGCTCCGTCTTAAAGAGAATACTGTAGTTCAAAACCAATTTATTTAGCTCTTCCTTTCCTTTTCCTGTCAATTTGAATTTTTTCTGGTAAGAGCTGCTTCTAAAGCTGAGAATTTTCTACATCGTCGGAAAGCTGCTCGGTGCTTGCACTGCCGTGCTAAGGAAAAACGCCGTATGAACATTCAGGCGTTGCCAAATTTCCTTACATACAACACGAATTTCCCGGTAATCATATGAATATTTTTCTTCCAATTTTTCAGATAATTTTATTCGCAATTTCTCCTAAAGTTACTAAAAATTTCCACAAATTAGAATACACCAAAAACTACGCTGTGCAACACCTCTGTTGTGAAATAATTGCTTGAGGCGCCGTGGCGGTCAACCAACGTGACACGCACACAGGCGCCTTCAAACCTAACAGGGATACTTCACGCATTACGCAATGCGTGAAGTATCCCTGTTAGGTTTGTAGGCGCCGGCGCGCGTTCCGCGCTGGCAGCACACCTCGCACCGCTGAATTACAGGTACTCAGGTACTCCATGCCGAATAACCCACTTAGTGGGAATTTCTAGTCAGAGTAGCTCTACGAATTTCCCGTTAAACTTATGAGTATTTTCCTTCCAATTTTTCAGATAATTTTATTCGCAATTTCCCCTGAAGTTCCTAAAAATTTCAAGGAAAAATATTCATAACTTTCCTCAAAAATAAACATTTTATCGAAGGAAATTTGGCAACTCTCGAATGTTCATACGACGTTTTTCCTTGGCACGGCAGTGCGGCAAGCTCTCTCTTTATGTATACAAATGTTGGTTTATTTAAAGACTCAGACCAAAAACCAGCTTCCTCGTATCATTCTTCGTTAGTATCATTCTTACTGTCGATAAGAAAGTTTGTATTGAAGAGCCAATTTCCAGTTCGGAAATTTTGATTAATCATTTTGATTTTTCGGTCGGTTCTTAGCAATTTATGCTTGATTGTTCGCAGCCTTTTTGAAACAATTCAGACGCTATTTTGGGCTGTATTTGGTCTCGTGGACTTGGATAACTTTGAACTGGCCGGGATCAAAAGTTTCACGCGATTTTGGGGCATGCTCATGTTCGGCACTTATTCTGTCATCAATATTGTTGTGCTTTTGAATTTGCTGATAGCTATGATGAATCATTCTTATCAGCTGATATCCGTAAGTAATGATGTTGAATTCCGACTGAATATTTTTCATGAAATATGTGTACATTGCTTATTTTTTCTTTCTTTTTCAGACTTAATCTCTATGTCTAAGTACGTCTTCTCTATATTTTTGAGTTGGAAGACATTTTTTGAAGGAGCAGCAACTTAAGATGAATTTTAGACAACCAAAAGTGGAGGTGAATTCAGATAAAAGATCCAAGATCAGCCAAAATAATGCACAAAAATTGTATATTGAGTGACATTTTTTTCGGCTAAAGCAGAGTTTTGACAAATTACAACGCGCAACTATATTTGAACCCCCAAGCCGCTCATATTGCCATCTTATTTATTGAAGGCGAACTTGGCTGAATGAGAGACACACACTGCCGTGCTAAGGAAGAACGCCGTATGAACATTAGAGAGTTGCAAAATTTTCCTCGATTAAATGTTTATTTTTGAGGAAAGTTATGAATATTTTTCATTGAGATTTTCAGGATTTTGCGATGAAATTGCAAACAAAATTATCTTAAAAATGGGCCTGTTGCACCAATTTTTTTTATTGCTTTAATCGAAAGACCTAAGGCTCCTGATGTCACAGGAATTTTCCCGGAGTTTTTTGATCACCGGAAAGCCCCAAAAAATCAACTTAAAAACGCCTCAGAATTTGGATTTTCAAAACGGTCGTTTCGGGTCCGCCATACTTGTGACGTGAAATGATATGACAGACCTGGTTTCTTCATCACTTACAATGTATTTTCCCGTAAGGAAATGGCAGCCGCTTTTCAAATGCAAATATCGAGTCAATCGCTAATTTTTTGTTCAAAATTGTAAGCAGAAATGGATTCCGCGTACGTTTAAATGGTTAAAACCTTCATTTGATAAATAAGAACCGACGGGATAAACCCTATTTTTAAGGAAGACTGTAGTCAATGGGCGATTGTTTACATCTGCTTAGTGATAACAGACATGGACATTAGCTCAATATTTGGCCATTTTCATGAGTTTTTACTTGTTTGTCACTATTTGAAGGTAAGTTTATTTTGTAAATCAATTGTCTAGTGTCTAAGGATCATGTTAAAAGCTGTAAAGGTATACTTTGTTACTTATTTATTCAGAACACACTCCGGCAGTCCAACGCTCAAACCTGGATGTAGCGAGTCAGTTGTTATATCTTACTATTTCACCCTTTAATGCTTCACTGAAGACACCAAAATGATAGTATCAATCATTGATGATAAAAAAAACTTACCTTTGACAATACTGATGAGATGAGGAGACCGGTATGTTTTAGCTGGAGGCAAGGAAAGTAGACGTAGGATCCTTCTTCGATTACCAGACTTTATCGATAAATTTTTCTGTATAGTGTTACATTTAAAACACACAGGATTTTAAAATAACATAAGTTTATAAAACGTGGGAACGTTCTGAATGATATTGAGATGTTTGTTGAAGAGTTAAGAATGATTTACACGCATTGAGAGAACATCCAGGGTTTGAGCGTTGGACTGCCGGAGTGTGCTCTGAATAAATAAGTAACAAAGTATACCTTTACAGCTTTTAACATGATCCTAAGACACTAGACAATTGATTTACAAAATAAACTTACCTTCAAATAGTGACAAACAAGTAAAAACTCATGAAAATGACCAAATATTGAGCTAATGTCCATGTCTGTTATCACTAAGCAGATGTAAACAATCGCCCATTGACTACAGTCTTCCTTAAAAATAGGGTTTATCCCGTCGGTTCTTATTTATCTAATGAAGGTTCTAACCATTTAAACGTACGAGGAATCCATTTCTGCTTTCAATTTTGATCAAAAAATTAGAGATTGACTCAATATTTGCATTTGAAAAGCGGCTGTCATTTCCTTACGGGAAAATACATTGTAAGTGATGAAGAAACCAGGTCTGTCATATCATTTCACGTCACAAGTAGTCACAAGCATAGAATCCACCAATCACAAGTATGGCGGTTGAAAAGCGACCGTTTTGAATGGGTCGGTTCCAAAAACAGCTTTTTTTTGAGTTTGAGAGGTCATTTCAAGGTTTTTTAGTAGCGCCATCGTTCTTTTCGTGAAATTTGCCATAAGAATCAGGCATCAATTTGCAAATCCCCGCACCTTGCAACAGGCCCATTGGAAGAAAAATATTTTTAAGTTTACCAGGAAACTCGTGCTTCGTCAAAGTAAATTTGGCAACGCCTGAGGGTTCATTCGGCGTTTTTCCTTAGCACGGCAGCACAGTCCGAGAGGTATGAGTCTTTTCGTTGCCAGGACTGACAGAAGTCGCAAAACCACTGCGCGCAACTATTCGTGCTCCTAGGTATGGGTGCAGAATTCCATAACTGAATAAAAGTTCAAACAAGTAATATTAGACTATAAATTGAGTTCCTAAATTTCATACTTTGACGCCATTTTTAATTCAAACTTAATCTATCGGCAAAAGTCACTTAACATATCCGTAGAATACTTCAGTTTCAAATGAAGTCGTGGATTTCAACTGGGATCTGATGAGGTAAAAACCGATGTGCTTTCAGGAAAGGGCAGATGTGGAGTGGAAGTTTGCGAGAAGCCGATTATGGATTAGTTATTTTGAGGAAGGCGGCACCGTTCCTCCTCCGTTCAACATTATTCCTACACCGAAAAGCCTCTTTTATTTCATCATGTGGCTTCAAAAGCGGATTTACGGTCACACAAGAACGGCCAAAAAAGAGCACATGCGGACAATACGGGTATGTTAGATCAACTCAAACATCTTCATCCTTTTTTCTAAGAAGGGTGCTTCAAAAAACGCGATGAAAATCAGATTAAATGTAAAGTTATGGACGGTATCTGAAGATAATTGAATGTTGCTGTTTTTTCTTTCTTTTTTTTAATTTTAAAGAACATTTTGTACTTATTAGTGATTTATATGCTCTCGGCAGTCGAGAGTTTGACAAACAGGACTGTGCCTTAGTCATTATTAGAAGAGGAGGAAGAGAAAGTTATGTACGGTACTTCATGGAATTAATCCTTAAGTCCAATGTACATTTTTACCGGAGATTTTTTGAGTGCTCTCATAGAATGAAAAACCCTCATATTAAGCACTGCAGCCGTTTAATTTGACCTAACTGATCCAGTCCTTATTGGATAGCGCCAACATGTACGATTACAGAAAACCAAAGAGTGTTGACCGAAGAATGACAATTACAGTGAACTCCTAAAAAAATAGCGATGATGAATTGAAAAGTTCAATTACTTTTTTTTTTTTGAAAGAGGGATTAATATAGCAACGATCAAAATTAACGAATGGAGATAACTTTATTCTATCTAATGGTTTGACTTATATTTGTTGCATAACAGTGATCATTAGGAGTAATCTTGCCCTTCCACCTCTCATCAGTCTTGTATTTTAATGGTTTGTGTGTGTTTCTTGTTTCATGCTGCTATTTTTGATTTGGAACTACAACCCTGCTTCACTCCACAATTTTAATTCCCTCCACATGTTTAATCTTGGATCATAAATACCGTTTCATTTCCTCGTATCCCCTCTCCCTTGACTTCCCCCTCTTGAAATTACAATGCTCTTGATCCAAATACTGCATTGTTCTCCATGGCCGATCTGTTTCATCATATCACAATTTTCGCGCGCTCATCTCGATCCCTCCCCCCTCCCTTTTTGATTTGCTTGCACCAGAAGGTGAAGCAAGCCAGTGAGAGGGACATAAGGTACCAAGTAAGTATTTTTTATATCTTTGCATCCTGTATTTCAAATTCCAGTTTGACTTAATTTTTATCTTTTTTTCTCTCCTTTCTCACTTTCATTTTATCGGAATCATTGAGAACACCAGACTAAACATCCAGAGAAAACGGACGTAATTAAAGCAAAATGAACTATATCCATTCTGACATGAGCTGTGAGATCCATAAGAATACTTGCATGACGGGGCTCATGTTACTATGGATAAAGTTATTTTTAATTTAAGTACGTTCAAATATCGGCGACACTTAACGTATAAGATTTAATTTAGCTCTCAGATCAGCTTAAAGTCTAAGGCAAAAACACAATGTGCAAAAAATACAGCTGAGAAATGACGGTAATTTGAGAAATTTCTGTCGAGTTCCAATTTTCCCACTTTATACTTAAATAATTCAACCAGAAGTGTAATGCACAGCACGCCATTGTTTTTGGAACTTAATTAGTATGTCTTAGCTTAAATTTAAGTATAGTTCACTGTAGGATCCAAGCATATGAAACCTCATTTTTTGTCATTTCGAATAACTTGCATGCGACTTCTGCCATCATTTCAATACAGAGTGCTTAATGAAGCCTAAAATGACTAAACCGCGGAAAAAAGAGATAGAGGCTGTTGAATGATACGGGCATTTCCAATTAATTGTGGTGATACCCCAGTGAAGTACGTCACTAGCCCAAATTTTGCGGTATACCACAATTAATTAGAAACGTCCATATCATCTGACAAGTTAGGGTAGTATCTCAATATTCTGGGATAACCCCTAATACTTTTTTGTCCTCAACCATAATTGAAGGTCTTGGAGGACAAGGCCCATAAGTGCAGCTTTTGCTATTTCAAGAAATACGGGTTCAAAGTTTCAAAATTACATGGAGCCTTGGCGGAAAAGAAGTTTAAACTCACTTTTTGATGCTTTAAAGCTCGATTTTAGTAGTGAATTTTTCACGGAGTATACTTTGGAACTAGTTTTAGTCGAGTTCATGAGTATCTAAATTTTTTCACAAATTGCACTTATGCGCCTTGTATTCCAAGCCCTTCAATTGAAAATAGATCTATTAGTGGTCTTTTTCCTTCATAAATGTACTCTGTAGCACATAAATATGTTTTGAAGGAAAATCTAATAGCATGGCGTCTATTTCAGAGCATCATGCGGAATTTAGTTCGACGCTACGTCACGGTGGAACAACGAAAAGCAGAAAACGAGGGGGTAACAGAGGATGACGTCAACGAGATCAAACAGGATATCTCCGCCTTCCGGTTCGAGCTCATCGAAATCCTTAGGAATGCCGGCATGAAAATTACCTCCAGCTCCGGCACGGGCACAGGTATACAACTCATTTCAACGGAATCATTTGGGACTGGAATTTTGAAAAACGTCTCCAAAAAAATTAAAAATAAATAAAAATCTATCTATCAATTCATCTGAAACCAGGGCTCCAGTCGCTACGCGGCTCAGCCCCTTAGCGGAAACTTCAAGCCCCCAAAGGATCCCTTTCCGGGCCATACAGTGGCGATTCTTGAAAGTTGACAACACTACTTTCCTTCCATTTAAATGCATGGAAAACAATCGATTCTCGGTGAGGCAGCTAGCCTCACCTGTATCGATATTTTTAATGGATTTAAAGGGTAGAAAAACAGTGTTGCCAACTTGGAAAATCGCCACTGGGGTCGTATTCCAAATCAAACTTCTACTATATAAAATCGTGAGAGTATCGGTTAACTTAAAACGCCTGAGGCGCGAAGCGGTTATAGGACATTTCGTCAACGATTTTTTGTCCGCGCACCTGTTTTTTCCAGTAATTTACGTCCACGCGTTTTTTCGGCACGGGAGTTTTGGTCCACGTGCCAGTTGAGATCCAAAGTTAATTGGCCCACATGTAAACACAAACGACAATTTCTCACGACGTTTTTGGATGAAAATGTATAAAATCTTGGAAAAATGAGGGTTTGCTTGTTTTTTTGTTTTGTCTGTTTGGTCCAACGGAGAATAATATATAGTCGAGAGTTTTGGTAAAAATGGGGGAGCATCAATTCTATCAGATAAAATTGACTAAAACTCTCTACACCTCTTTGGTGTGACTGCAGGACTTAATTATCTTTCAAGAAATTCCCACCTTGTTATACCCGAACCGGATGAACCTTAATATATTTGCCGCAGCTAAAGGCTCTTAAATTTTTCCTGTGTACGATAAGTATCTTGATTTATTTTGCGAGAAAAGATTTGTACTTTTAAAGGATGCCTGTCATTCTTAATGCGTTCAATTTCGTATGATACTGTGCAACACCTCTGTTGTGAAATAGTTGCTTCAGGCGCCGCCGCACGACGGGCGGGCGGCCAGCGCGTGAGGCTCACTGGCGCCTACAAACCTAAGTGGATACTTCAAGCATTGCCAATGCGTGAAGTATCCACTTAGGTTTGTAGGCGCCAGTGAGTCTCACGCGCTGGCAGCGTTAGGCTTTAATATTTATACTCGCATAGTCAGCGTTTTTTAACTCATGATTTTGAAATGTTCGCACTCTCTGCATTGATAATTCTCATTTAAATTTATGGGAAAAAATATGTATCAATTTATCAAAAGAAAATAATAAAATAATGTGTGTTTTTTAAATATTGTTGGTTTCGTGTCAAATTTAATGATTTCCAAAGCACTTCAATTTTTTCTTTTACATTTTGTGCTTTTATTGTGCTGCAGCGAGGTGTACGCGCAACCAAACGCTCAAAATTTGACGTATTTGACTTTATAAGATCGATGTACAAATGGGTTAAAACTAAAGATTGCGTGCTTCTTGGTTTTTTTTTCTCTTTTATTCATTTTAGCAGTTTCTGTCGGCACAACTGCGGCTCATTGAGATTAATGTCGCTTGGAAAAGGTTTTACAAATATTTGTCACGTTTTAAAAATTTAAATGTTTTCAAAATGAAGTAATAATTTCGTAAAGCAAAAATTAAAAAAATAAAAAAAGTACCTGTACATGTATGAGGTATATTGTACATCGAATATTTTAAGGATAGGAATGAAACCAAATATTTACCAATTACAATTTAAAAAGATGATTTAAAAGGAGAAAGTAATAACATTTCATTTAGAAAATGAGCAACCATAACAACAACTCCTTCTCTCTCAAATTCTCATCCTATACTGTCAATATGAATTTACATACCGACTAAAATATAGCGCTTGGACCAAGTCACTGTTGCTTATTTTACGTTTGGGCGTAAACTACTGGACAAAAAAGGTGCGCGGACAAAAAATCGTTGACAAAATTTCCTGAAACTCGCGAAGCGCTTCGAGGGGTTCAAGATCAGGGGCCAAAAACCACCTAGTTTGACTACATACATTTCGACGGTGTAAGTCGGCAATCATATAACTCGGTTTGCGACGTCGCAGACTTCCTGTCATACTTCGTTTTTTAAACGGAAAACTACTCAACGGCAATTCTTTATAACTGCCGTGATTTTTCCTCTCTGTACGAAGAAAATTCTGCATAAATTTCAAAGAATGATTTCAATTTGTTCTCTTTTAAAAAAATAATATAAAGGCGGAAATTTTCAGACACCGCAAACGAGTTATGTGATTGCCGACTTACACCGTCGATTTAAGTTTCGAATAAAGGACCCGAAGCTATCTAGATATGAAGCGTAGAGTGAGAAAAGGAGCTAATGAACCCGTTGTTGCAGGTGCAGGTGGGAAGAAAAACCGTCAGAAAGAGCGGCGGCTCATGAAAGGCTTCAACATCGCGCCGACGCCTTCGTCCGGCGGGCTAGGCAGCCAGCAGGGCTCCTTGCCGGCCGAGTTCATCGCCAGCTTCCAGAACGTGGGCCACCACGTGGGACATCACGGGCTGAGCCCCTCGCACGAGCTCCTCGAGTCCCTCCACTCAGGCCTCATCGGGCGCTCCTCGGGGATCACGATGCGCCGCGCCTACTCCTCCAACAACCAGAACATGCTCCACCTGGAGGGCGCCCACCGGAGCTCCGCCAAGTACAAAAAGCGAAACGCCTCCCGCAAGAAGCGCTGGGAGAGCCTCATCGAGGCGGCCATCACGGGCCGCGTCTCGCGCTTCATGTCCAAGTCCCGCTCGGAGGACTCCGTCTGCGAGGGCGCCTCCCCGGAGCCGCGCCCCCACGGGCATCAGCGCCCCGGGGACGGCCACTTCCCGGAGCGCGCCGAGGCCTTGGCCGCCCTCCGCAAGAAGCGGGAGAACTTCGCCAGCGCCTCCAAGCACCTCGGGCACACGGCGCCCAAGTTCCAGGACGCCGCCTCCAAGCTCCACCTCAAGCGGGCGGCCAGCGTTCCCGTCCAGATCCCGGACCCGGCCCAGGGCCTCGGTCTCCCCGTCCGGCTTGATCAAACCCAGTCCGTCGACTCCCAGTCACAGGTGAGAGCTAGAGTCCCTTTATACTGAGAGTCAAGACAACACCCCTCATGGAGTCACAAACGGGAATAAAGATTACACACATTGAACGTTTTTCGTAATCTTTGATCGGCTCATTCTTAAATTCCTTTCTCCGTTCCTTCTCTCATTCCGTTTGTTCCTTGTCGAACCCGAAATTCCTCGGTCCATTCCAGATTATAATCTTTGCAATTGGTGAAAATGTAATCTTTATTCCCGTTTGTGACACTGTGAAGGCCTAAAATCCGACCAATCACCAATTAACCAATCAGAAATGGATTCGATTTGTCTTGACTCTCAGTATAAAGGGACTCTAGTGAGAGCTTTCTCTTTCAACCGTCTCCCTCGTTGAGGAACAAGAGTCATTACTTTCAGAACTCTTACAGTAGACTTCCAGGGTGTCCACACGTCCGAAAAGTCCGGGAGTAGCACTGCTTTTTTAAGGGCGGTCCAGAAGTATTGAAAAAGTGCGGAAATACCGCAAGGAAGTCCGGAATTGTTTCATTTTTGTCGCATTTCAAGCGAGAAATTCAAATCTTTGAAATTCTTCGAATTTCGTCAATTGGGGGTACTAAAAAAGTGTTGAATTTTTCTGTTAAGAAGGTACTTTTCTTTGGAATATACTGAAAAATTATTGCAAAAGTACTGATTTTTGGCCAGCCTATTTTAGTAGACAAGCTCAGGCCTCAAGCTATTTTTAAAGTCGTAGTTACAAAGTTACGCGAGATACGATTGACGTTCCGCATCCCGTGAAAATATATACAATAAAAAAAAAAAAAAAAAAAAAAAAAAAAAAAAAAAAAAAAAAAAAAAAAAANAAAAAAAAAAAAAAAAAAAAAAAACACACACAATTTAAAAAGCGGGTAACAAGGCTGAAATTTTACGAATAAACCCATTTGAATAAAACGTTTCGGCTGAGAACTCAGCATCCCTTGGTTGGATAAAACAGTATAAAGAAAAATGGTAAAAATCTAAAATAGTACCTATGGCTGTACCTTTCAAGGCGAGAATGTTGTTTATGAAAATGTACAGCCAGGTAGGTACCAATTAAGATTTTTACCATTTTTCTTTTTACTATTTTATCCGGTTCAATGACATTTCGACACCGATTTGTTGTCTGCACACCTGGTTCTTCTAGTAGTTTATGTCTACGCGTTTTTTACGGAAGGGGAGTAGTTTGATTTATTTTGCGGGGAAAGCTCCGTACTCTTGAAGGATACCTATCATTCTTAAAATGTTGGAGCGCCTTCAATTTCGTTTGATACTGTGCAACACCTCTATTGTGAAATAGTTGCTTGAAGCGCCGTGGCACGCTGCGGCGCGGCGGGCAGCTGGCCAACTCCCAACGCGCATTGACGCCTACAAACCTAAGGGGATACTTCAAGCATTGCGCAATGCGTGAAGTGTTCTCTTAGGTTTGAAGGCGTTAGTGCGCGTTTCGTGCCGGTAGCACGCCGCTCCGCTCTGTGTTCGGCTCTAATATTTAAAATCGCGGAGTCAGCGTTTTTCAGCTCATGATTTTGAAATGTTTGCACATCCTGTATGGATTTTCCTCATTTAAATCGATGGGCCCGGATGTATTAAAGGAAAATATAAAATATGTTTTGTAGATATTAAGGTGGTTCCGTGTCAAATTTAATGATCCCCAAGGCACTTTAATTATTTCTTTTATCTTTTGGTTTTTCCCCCTTTTATATTCATTTTTGTGTAGTTTCTTTCAACACACCTCTTATTTTACGCGTGGACGTAAACGTAAATTTCAAGACAGCCGTAGGTGCATGAGAGCCAATGAAAACAGTGCTTTCAAGAGGAATGCCGCCCTCATCTGCCGATTTCTAACCTGAAAATGTGTTTGTTGTGTGTCCGAAACGCTACCACAAAAGCACGCAGAAGATAGCACTGACGGCTGTCTTGCCAAATACTAACCTAACATGAACCTGAATTTTACCTTTTTCACGTACTTTAAAATAAAATCGGTCGAGTTATAATCCCCCAAATGATTTCTAAGAGTCTATCGAATGATTGGTTGTGATTTGACAAAGAACGGAGGCTTTTTTCAATAAAATGTTCTACTCAGAAGCTTCCAGGCCCATTTTCTCAAAATTTCATTTTTGCACTTACGGCTCTCTTCGCTATCACGGCAGAGTGGAAGGTCTCTTGTCTCCGCATAGGGCAGCCAGAGAGAGCGCTGTGAAAATGGCTTTCATTCATGTATGATCAGAGATGGAAAATTTCATGAAATTTATTCGAGTGAAATTTCATGAAATTTATTGAAACTTTTGGGGATACCTTTAGGCGGCTAAGAAATGCCTAGAAACAGCGATTCTAAATTTTGAAATTTTTCACCCCAAGTCTAAAAAATTCGCGCGTTGCAAATGTTTTCGTTTAGTTTAGAGGATTGGTTGGGGTTCTTCTCTCTATACTCTTTTTTTTGCCCCCTCTTTGTGTCAGGCACCTCCAGTAGAGTAGCATAATACTGCAGCATCAACTGAAAGACCATATGAAACGCTTTCAGACCTCCAAAGGTTAAATCAATAATTCCAAAAAAAAATTAATAAATTTCAACTTTTGTGAAATTTATTCGAGCCTTTTGAAATTTCATGAAATTTCACTTTCCATCTCTGTGTATGATGATTCCTTTTTTTGGACTGCTCAGGTGCAGAGGGTTCTTCTCTCTATACTCCCCTTTTTGCCCCCTCTTTGTGTCTGGCACCTTCAGTAGAGTAGCATGATACTGCAGCATCAACTGAAAGACCATCTGAAACGCTTTCAGGCCTCCAAAGGTTTAATCAATGATTCAAAAAAAAATTAATAAATTTCAACTTTTGTGAAATTTATTCGAGCCTTTTGAAATTTCGTGAAATTTCACGTGAAATTTCACTTTCCATCTCTGTGTAAAGACTAGTGTGGACTGTGTATCTAGTTGTTTATAGTAAATACAATGATAATTGGTTTAATCATTTTATCAGTGTAATTGACATACTTTTGTTTTGTTATTTGTCTTTTTAAAGATTAGATCTTTTAATCTAACTCTAATTTGACAAATTAATATTATTTTTATATTTTAACTAAATCTTTAAGTTATCAACTTACTAAAATTAATTAATTTACTTAACTTCAAAGGTTATTGTTTAAAACTCAAGTTAATAGTTTATATCTAATATCACTATGATGATTCCTTCTTTTGGACTGCTCAGGTGCAGAGCACGTTGTCGCCGTCGACGACGGACGAGAGCGTGACGGCGGAGGCGGAGCGGCTCCTGATCGAGCCGTACACGAGCTCCGCGTCGGGGGACCTGAAGACGACCCACGACAGCGGCACCTCCGGCCCCGGCCCCGGCACCGGGCGCGAGTCCCAGGACCTCAAGGGACACAACAACGGCTACCGCCCGCCCAACGCCTCCATCCCCGGCGTCCAGCCCCTCAGCGGACACACCAACTCCGAGGGCTGGCTGTAGCCTCCTTCGCCCAACTCCCCACCCCCCTTCTCTACTCTTTTATATGCGCTAATTCTAAGCAGAATCAAATTATTTTTATCCTTTTTATATATTTTCAACTCAACATGTTCAACACTGCCGTGCCGAGGAAAAACGCCGTATGAACCGTCAGACGTTGCCAACTTTATTTCGATAAAATACGAATTTACTGGAATGATTGGACCGCGTTCAACAGAAACGGTGGAAAAACAAGGATGAAAAACGGGAAACAAGGCTAAAAATACACAATTAATGAAACCCGAGACGTTCCGGCTCAAAACTGAGTCATTTTCAGTCGGAGACAATAAGAATTTTAAAAGAAAGGAGTTCAACAGAAAGGAACCAAGCCACATCAGCTATTGTCAAATTTAATTGGGCAATTTAAGTTCATACATGAAAACGGCTGTGCGGATTTTTGTGCGAATTTCAGTGAATTTTCTCCGTAGCGCGGAGCAAATTCCTCAAAATTTTCAAAGGACTCCGCACAAACGTTCTTTCGTAAAAAAGTAAATTGCCCTGTTAAATTTGGCGATAGCTGGTGTGGCTCGGTTCCTTTCTGTTGAACGCGGTCCAATTGAGGATATTTTTCCTCAAGTTTTTAAACTTTATTATTTGAAATTCAATCTAGAGAATCTGCAAATTTCAAGGGAAAATATGCATAGCTCTCCCCGAAAATGCATGTTTTATCCGGGAAAATTTGGCAACTCTCAAATGTCCATACGGCGTTTATCCTTAGTACGACAAAACAGTCTTTGCGAGTCGCTGCACGCAGGCAAGAATTGGAGTCATAAATAGCTGGAGACTGCCCCGCCAAGATCCATGTCGTCTCCCGCACGAAGGAACGTAACTCAATTCCGAGGTTGCCAAATTGACCCGAACGATTAATTTATTCTATAAAGTTGTGCCTATGTAATTTGTATCGAAAATGTTTCCGATTTTTGCATGAAGTCTGTGGAAAAAACAGTGAAATGTTCGTCAGGAATGCCCAAGATGCTCTTGGTTAAGATGCAATTTGCGAGGGGAAATTTGGCAACATTGAAATATAGTCATGTTCTCTCGTGAGGAAAACGGCGGATTAAGGTGGATCCTCGGCGTTGAAATTGAACTAACTCCCAAACTGGCGACAGCGTTTGCAAAGTGTAATTTTTTTTCTTTTTTTTTTCAAATTCACACCTTATCATTCTAAAACTATGAAATGCTTTCAAAGGGTCATTTTTTGGAATTTTCGGGTCCTCTCTGCGAAAATGATGCAGAATGAAACCGTTTAAGCTGTTCCATAGATATGTCATTTTTACATCATGACTTGCAATGTATACTTAACTTATCACATCGAAAGTTTTGAAAGATATCTAAAGATATGAAAAATTACATTCTGAAGGCACATGCCAGAGTTCAGCCATCAGTATGACATCCTAGTCAGTATGCCATTAATTTTCGATTAAGGTGTATCACCTTTGATATTTTTAATAGCATGTTTAAGGTATGTTTAAGTGCAAAAAGTAAGAGACCATTTTCTCTTGATAAGTCGTTTTATGGTTGGTAGAGGAAAGGAGGCTCAGAAAGGGGTCAAGTAGGTGAATCGTCTGATTATCGTCATGAATGTGTCTTACAAGCTGTCATTGATATTTTACCCACTTTTTCTAAATTTCTTCTACTAATTAAGTTAAACATAATATGAAATTGAGTCCACCGTTTTGTTTGGGTATTGACATTGTAGTTTTAGAATCCATTAAGTTTCCCAGAAGGGCATTTCCTTAAACATGTTCTTCTCTAAGTAAAAATTAATGTAAAGGGAAAATAAAAGTGAAAATTTTATATGAAGTAAAAAACAAAAATCAAAATCAACAAAAAGTGAGATCAAGCACTATCATTCTGAGGTTTTGATAAAAAAAATTAACAAAGTTTTCTTCAGTCAGGTAAAAAAAGCCAATCATGACTAACGTCCCTTTCGCATTGCGCGCCATTCGGACCTCAAAAACGTTGCCGTGCGAGGCGGTGGCAGCGTCGCACCAAAGAAATTTTCGCAAAATAAACGCCTTCATTTTTTTGAATCTGCAACACAGACAGCCGTGAAGCAGGAATATCTGCATCTCTGCGCCGTGGCAAGAATAAAGCCGAAGCGCTCGCGCCTTCAGATCTTCGCATATCGTCACCTTCCAGTTGAAGTATCGTAAACTTCATACACCTACAGTTGGGCATAATAAATCGTCATGTATACTGTCAGATTGAAAATGTCAGCCATGGGGCATATTCATGATCAGACCTTTTTCCAGGGCGATTAGATGCAGTTTTTTTCTGATTTGTGATCTCTTTCTCTGGGTTTTAAGGCCTAGGAGTTGCCGTTTTAATTTTAGCGTGATATTTACCTAGAAGATATGAGAAGAAGCTGGTGCATTAGAACTTGAAGAATGCTATATTTTGCAAGGAAATTTCAATCTGACCTCCTCAAGTCCTCACTAGACTTTGTAGACTTTGTCTCAAAAATACAAAAAGTAAACAATACAAGATAGCGCTCACTTTTATGAAGTGGTCCAACCAAAAATCACTGTAAGTAATCAGTTATTTGACTGTCACAAAGAGCATTTTTTAAGCTTTTATATAAACGTATACGTTAAGATTTAAGATCTTTATAAATTCTTTAAAAATTAACTATGCAGTTTCTACCGGTGAATTTCATGCGAAAAGGAGCTCAACTTATACCGAAGCGAATACAATAATGTCTAAACAATTTCAAGTGCATGATTGTAGGGACTAGATAATTGTTATTCGGCTTCATGCACACAAAATCTTTCATTTGCTTGTTTCTCAAAACAAAGAATTATAACCCATACCGTCATTACGCACTAATAAAAGTTATTCTCTTTTTCTACCGTGGAAAATAGGAGAAATCGTTTCTGATGACCCGTGATGCAAACCTATACAGAAGTTCCAAATAACGTCTCGCACAATTTGGGTCGCTCTGCTTACAAAGCTCATCATAATTTCACCGCCGTGCATAACATATTCCCTCTTTTTCGAACTTGTTTTCAATCTAATTCCATTCGAGTGTTACAACTGGGACCTAAACGGACCGCTTTGAAAAGAAAAGAACCAAGCCATATCAATTATTGCCAAATTCAATGGGGCAATTTAATTTTTTACATGAAAACGATTGTGCGGATTCTCGTGCAAATTTCATTAGACCCTCTCCATAGAGTGAAGCAAATTCCTTAAAAATTTCAAAGGAATCCGCACAAACGTTCTCTCGTAAAAAATTGCGTTGCCCGGTTAAAGTTGGCAATAGCTAATGTGGCTTGGTTCCTTTCTGTTAAACGCGGTCCAAATCTGATTCAGCTCGTCCCTTGTAGCTGGCGACCCCCCCCCCCTCGTGTACGCACAATATAATTAAAAACTTGTAAAATCCGTTCAAATAAAGAGTTTTGGTAGTTGCTCGTGAAAATTTCGATGTCAGGGGTTAATTTCTGTTTTCACGAGAAAAATATGTCATGTAGGGTTGCTCCTCTTCCAAAGTAGCACGCCTTCACCACTCGCTCAACTGCTGTATTTAATATGTTCGCGCTCAATATGTTATAATTTTTGTACGTCGAACTAATCTTAAACTTATCTAATGAGAGCAGGATGATCAAGCTTAGAGAAAATCCGTCGGCAAAGGAACGGTACCAAATGTTTGCAATGCAACGGTACGTCTTCAATATGTGTTTGTTAACGTTAAGCAAATTATGTCTTATCAATGTTCAGATTGAATTAATTTGAAAAATATGTTAACGCTAACATAAAAATGCACAGAAATCAACTTTGTTCACGTGACTGTTGTTTTTTGTTAATACTTACTTGGGTATAAAAATTGATCTATTCCGAAAATAGGAAAAAAAATAAAAATAAACTTTGTTTTTACCTTCATACCCTACATGAGCGTCAAGTTGCTGAGTAGTGTCTCTGATAGAAATGACTAACTAACTTTATATGAATGCCAACAACAACACTGTGAGCCACGTCGACAAGAACAAATTAATCATACTGACCTTCCGAAGATCTCTCTGAAAAGGATGTATGCCCTGAAACAAATAAATCCAGGCTCGTCCAAATTCCTAGATGAGCCCTCGCCAAAACTACGCTGGTCCCATAAAACGTACCTTTTCGTTTCCAAAAATGAAATGTCATAACTATTTTAATAATTTTATATTTTCCGTTTACGTATTTCGCTATTCGTTAGGCTTTTGTTCTCGATAAGTTAAACTCATGGTGACTCATTTTCTCATATTAGAAAATGAAAAGGGAATGAAATTAACTCAATGAAACCAGTTAGCTTTATTTTATGAAAACGTTATTTTGAAATATGTGAATTTCAAGGTAACAAAGATAATTTACTTCTTTTCTTACTTGAATTTTTAGTCAAAACGATCACAAATATTCTGTATACAGTTCTTTGTTTTATTTTACGTTTGCATACAAGAATTGAGTTTTATTTTGTTATTCGCAGTGGTTAAGTATTTGAAACGCACAGAGATTAAGTGATAACGTAAGCGAGTAGTTAAATGTTGATTTGTAAAATTATGTTTTGTTGAGTTTTTAAATAAACTGTGATATTGTTAAAAAAAAAATCTGATGATCCGTCTTCATTTTTTCCAATTTTTTTTTTTTTTTGTAATAAAAAATTTGTTCTGATTTATAAAGAAGATAACCTTTCTTACCATAAACGTAAAATGCCACGTAAATTCCAAAATTTGTTTATTGTCAGTAGGATAAAGATATCGATTGGGTAAGCTGCCCGTATTGCCATCACAGTTATTGAAGGCTAAATTGACAAAATGAGAGACGCAAGATAAGGGAATGAACCAATGTGTGTTCCTTGCCGGAACTATGCAGAGGCAGCAAAACAGTTGGGAAAAGGAGGAGGTGGTCGTTAATTAGACGTATTTTTGTCAAACGGAACTATGTGCATTATGACGTGATCCCTGTATTGACTATATTCTTGTGGGTCTCACGGCTCATGTCTTAATGCACGTAGTTCCGTTTGGCAGGAATACGTCCAATTGAGGCTTATTTACCCCGTGATGTAGATCGGTACAATATGGCGTCGATATTCCAGTAAAATCCAAAATTCGACGTACGAAACACAGACCAATACGTCCTTTTTTTCCTTAAATGAACTTAAAATGTAATTTAAAACACTTTATACAGAGTGATTTTTCCGTAAACGACACCATCTCCTAACTGATGGACTAACTGTTGGACTAAATTTAGGCAGTTAGTCCATCATTTTCTCAACTAATCTATGGAACCACCTATAGATATAGGGAGTATGGAGCGATCTTATTGGTTGAATAGGATCGCTCCATATTCCCTATGTCTTCTTTGTCTATCGCTTTGTCCATCAATTTCAAAAATCAGCCTACAGCATAGTTGAAGGAATTTGGAACTGGAATGCCTTCACTGTAGCAATGCACTGTGAAGGCCCTCGTACACGGTCAAATTACGGACAAACTGAGAGGTCACCGATGACCCGAAATCACACCACTAACCAACCAACGGTCTTCAAGGGTGATCGATGACATCTGAGTTTGTTCGTGTTGCAATCGTGTTATAATAAAACCAAGAGTCCCTCTGCAATGTCAAGTCGGACAGATGCTTTGCATTGCCCTACAATTGGATGTATTCCTGCCAAACATAATTATGTGCGTTAAGACATGAGCCCTGAGACCCTTAAGAATATATGCATAACAGGGTTCACGTCATAATGCACTTAGTTCCGTTTGGCAGAAATATGCCCAATTTGGTCGGTGGGCGCGGACGTTCTATTGAACTTGGAGCAACTATTTAAACTCCCCGGAGATCAAATTGCATACTCAACGAAATGAAGGAGCTTCAAATGATTGCGCTGGTCGACTTTACGGCCGGTGCCTTCTGGTCGGAAATACAATTCGATCCCGATGAACTATTTTGATCAGAATTAATAAATGGTCTTGTCTTTGCACGCGATACAGCGTAAAGCACGTCATTCCACTGGTCCTCAGAGCAACATCAGGGTTTTTTCACAGTCTAGCTGTGAAAAAACGTTTCGCGCTGGCACACGCCGCGGCTCTCCTGGCAGGCGGATGGTGACCGATTTTTTGCAGGAAGAGGTCCCGGACTCCCACTTCGATATCAGTGGCGAGGCATGAATGATCGATTATCGATATTTCCCCATTTGAAGCTGCAGTGAAGAATCGATTATCGAGATGTTCGTAGCGAATACCCTGTTTATCGCTCCTTTCCCATGGGTTTAAATGGCATATCAATCGATATCGCAAAGCACGCCGCGCCAATGCATTATACGACGAAGTATCTCCGAAGAAAGATCTCTCATTTCAGCGCGACTACTTTTTTCCCGTGCTGCTTTAATTTCGCACCACTCGTCAGGTCTGAGCTGGTTCCCCATGGGACGAAATACTAGACCGTCCCCAGGGCTGCGCCATTCATAGACGCAATCACTAATGAAAAATCCTAAGGGAGGGCAGCTCTGACATCCGAGAGGAGGAGGGAGTTGTGAGGAGGGGAGGTGCGCGGGTAGGGATGTCTGAGTGTCAGGTTTACCATCATAAACCACGAATCCTCTTACGATTTCTAATGAGAGTTACGATGTTTCTTTCTTATCAAGGAATCCCACGCGTCAGAGGAAGTGGCTACCTTGGATATATAGTAAGATATCGTTAAACTCTGCCTTGCAGGGTAAGAACCATTTAATTCCGGACGGGAACTTTATGCACATAAGCTTTTTTTACCGGTGGTATCCCACCAAACTTACAGATTCCAAAGTTGCCGTTCAATGATGATAATTTGAGCTCTTACATTTATTCTTAGTGGCTTTCTCAGCGGATTACTGACTTTCAGCCCCCGCGGTAAAAAGGCGTTTGCGTGAGAGAGACCGCAACGTTGCCTAACTTCTGAATGTCTTCACGTAAATGATACAAAATAGGAGATAATTTTATCCAAGCAAATGCAACTTAGACTCGCAGTGTTGTCGAAGGGACGAAAATTCACCATCTTTCCGCTGTATCGAAGGATATTTCTCCATCGGGGTTGCAACTCAGATTTCGAGAGACCTCTCTATTTCATAACTCCAAGGGACTGTTCGTCAGACCTTCCTCTCTCAGCTTTCAATTCCCAACCAGAGCCTGCCCTGAGCTTACAATTCGTCTCCGCCGCAAACGTGCCCTCTGAATTAGCGCACCCCCATCGGTTTCAACATCCGCGCACACTGCCCCTGCAACGCCTCCGCATTTCCCACGGCTCAAAATTCGCCGGAAGAAAACACCTCGGGCAAACAGGTGTTATTGCATTTTTCAGAATCCGACCGGGATATTGAGTTTCCTGTTAAAATGAGAAATTGTTTGATGTGCTTTTGTTGCCTTATTCTAATCATCATCGTCTCAGTGATTCCTGGCAATATTGGACGATCTGTCGCTACTGAAGATGACGGTGAGCATGACTTAAAAATAATGAATAAGTGGTGTTTATTATGAATAAGCCAAACCGTTCTCTTTTATTTATTTATTTCTTTATTTATCTATCTATCTATCTATCTATTTTTTTTATTTTAAGTTAATTGTTAAAGCCAATTAATCGTAAAGGACTTTTTGGAAGAATCGAGTTATTTTCATTCTTTACATAATATCAGCAAACATAATAGCCCAACAGCCATTTTTAGAGTCAAAAAATTGATTATAATACCAAATGCCAGACATGAGAATGCAGAATCCTTCGAAACTAATTACAAATTGCTATAGGACTGATCGAGTCGCCTGACAGTTTTTTTCGCCACTTAGCATCGGAGAAAATATGATTCCCGGTTTTTGACCCTAAACCACTGCGTTGTGAAACCAAATATTTGATTTGGATAACTCTGTTACTCGTACCATATAATTTAAGTATTCTTGAATACCGTCCAATTGCTGTTCATTTCGTTTAACGGTTAAATGAGGTACTACCACCGTTATTTAATCGAGAGTCTATTTTTTATTAAAATGTATGTACCCATTTTCTCCGGTTCCTCCTTTGCCGGAGAAGCTTTAGGAAGATCGCCATCAGTGGTAGTTGGGTGTCGCAGAGCGCGTGGAAGCGCTATTAGAGCGGCATGTTTGTAATAATAGTATGTATCCATTTTCTGTCATGATTTAATTATATAATGGTGAGCTTCCTAGCCCTTTACATTCTGAGTACGTACTGGAGATCTAGCCGACCGATTTCCATGATTTTTGCGACAGTCAAAAATTAATATTCTTCAAATGATCTTGCTCTTATCCCATTTTCGGAATATGACACATTTTTTTATCATTATGTAATATGTGATAATTCACTTATTTTCCCGTTTAAATAATGTGAAACAGCCCCGACTTACCTATATGTGCCAAAAGTGTATTATTACAATCAAGGGTTATCTCTCTTGATAGAGCACAAATAATTCAGATTTAATAAAATAAATAAAACTTTACGATAAGAAAAGTGTTTAAACGTTCAACAAATAGATCGGAAGCAATAACATAGAACTTCTTTGAACATAAAAATAAAGTATTTGTTTTTATCAAAGTAGTTGAATGCATTTCATACGTAAGTTTGAAAATCGTAAAATTAACACTTCTCATCGCGCAAACTCATTTTGTAGGATATCGATGCGATGAAAATTCGATAAATAATCCTGAAGAAAAACAAAAATTGAAAATGCAATTACTTAAGCTCTGCATCCACCATTGTCTTACAACTATTTTATGAATTCACGATCTTTACATTGAAGTTACAGAATTTTATTCCGAGGCATTTTATTACTTATGTTACAGACGGTAATCTGGCGGACAATAACTATCCAGATTTTGATCTAGAAAAACTCTTCCGTCCGGCCCAAAAGTAAGTTGAACTAGATCATATTTGTTTTTTCGATTGTAGATACAAAGGTTCAACCCTGAATTGAATGCAGATTGACACACACTTAAGCAACAACAAAAAAACATTTCCATAGAGTCATCGCTCTGAAAAGTCGATACTTAAAAGAGTAGCCAAGGCTAGATTTTTTTTTTCTTAATTGCATCCAGTTATTGCTCCCAGTCCCCCCCCTCCCCAACACTGTATACATTTATTTCTCCTTGCAATATTGAAGAGGAATAACGTGACTTTGTCACTAGTTAAGAACTTTTCCAGTGGCCCATTTGGACTACATTTTGCAATTATTAGGAACTATAAAATTGTGCTTCAGTTTAAAACCATCGTATGTACCATTAGTTTCTCTATTCAGATAAGTGCTTTTACAGATGGGTCGAAAGTTATAGTTCCGAATTGCAAAATGAAGTCCATTTAGTCTTTGTGTGTTCTAACCATCAATTTTTAGTCATGAGACATTAATATTTGAAGAATCGCACATAAAACATGTTATGATAAAAACCAGATTTTTTTACCTCCTCCCAAAATTCTTGACGCACCCTTAGTGCAGACCCATCCCCCTTCACATCATACGTAACAATCCTTTTGGCCCTCCCTCCCATACCAAAAAATCGCTACTTAACTTTTGTCGTTTTTCCCCTCTTTTTCACTTATGAAAAAAACAAAAAACGGTAAAAATAAATTAATACAACGGAAAAAAAACAAGTGGTCCTCATATTTTTTCATTCCAAATTCAAAGAAAATTGTAATCAAAAGAGAAGTTATAAAACAATTGAAAAAAATATTAAAATAAATAACCGAAGAAATTTTTAAAAAAGTAACAAAATATAGAGTTAAGCGTAATGTAACGAAGATCTGCACCATCTCCTTCCCCTATAACGCACCTATAACGGAGGTTCAGACCCTAACTTAGAACATTACATTTTTGAACTGCATTTTGCAATTTGGCACTATAAATTCTGGCTCTTCTGGAAAAACACTTATGTGCATAGGGAAAGTAATGGCAAATACGTCGTTTTCAAACCGGGCTAGAATTTATAGTTCCAAATTGCAAAATGTAATCCATTTTATGTACGATCCCATTAGACCCTTGAAACCGTTCCACACTCTGCCGTCCGCAGCAAAAACGCCGTAACTCCATTAAAAATCTGCATTTTTCGTCTACTTATACTGCTTATACTGCTCTAATACAAGAAAATCTGAATGCGACGAGGCTTCATTTTTTTTTAATTTTGAGTTCCTAACGGTATGTCAAAATTGACTCCAAAAAATGAAAGATGAATATTCGCCAGTTTTCTCGTATGTATAATAGTGTTTTATCAGGAAAAAATCGGCAAAATCTCCAATGGAATAAAATCAAGTCAACACATAATTTTTTAAAAATGAAGTGGGTTACATTTAAATTGATTTAATGGAATAACTAGATAATCAAAGTTTTAAAGTTAAGTTTTTTACAGAAGTAAAAAATTTACAATTAATTTCGGCTTAATAATTAAGGTCTTCGTGCCTTCGTACAAATTTAGTTAGAACCAAAGAGAGGTATATATTATTGTTAATAATAAAAATTAAGTGTTTTCTGACTAAATAAGCAGGCTGCTGCATTTTTTCTTTTGGACGGCACACAGTGGATCGAGTCAATCAGAGAGGTCGGACATGAAACTTATTACTAAAAGTGCAAATTTTGATGTTGATTCCTTTAAATTTTCAATTTAAAGGAATGCCTCTTTGAGTAAATTTCATGAGGAAACCAATGGAGCACCTTCAAAACCTAAAAGTTTGTATGAGCGGAATTGTAAGCTTTTAAAGTTTCCTGTCCGATCTCTCCCATTGACGCGATCCACCGTGCGGCAGCACTATCACCGGTGGAAATGTCACGCTTGTTGCATGCATCCTATTTGCAGGCGAGACTGCGTGAGGCGCGGCGGAAGTTGCACGACGAACCCGGGCGGCTGTTGCCGGGAGGACTCCTGCAAGTGCAACGTCTGGGGTGCCAACTGCCGCTGTTACAGCCAGGCCCTCTACCAAAAGTGGATATGAGCTCATGCGCCCGGAAAACACCACTAGAATGGAATTTTTTTTACACACCTCTCGACTAATTTGAATGGTCTAATTCCAATAAATACACCACATTCTCATAAAGTTCTATTTTCCTTTTTTTTCGCATTTTATAACTGATAAAGCTGACCTCCTTCACTCCTCCCCGAAGGTATTTACTCGAATTTGACATTTTCCTCAGAAATGGAGCTCAGAAAAACTGCACTGTATTTTGCAATAATGAACCGTTATTTCTGGCGCATTTTAGGCATTTTGGTTCCTTGTTGCAAAATTGATTCCAACTAACCTCATGATCGATTAATTAAAGTTCGTTTTGGGGACCAGGCGGAAATTTTTGAGGAGGACAGGGAACGTCATTGACTGAAAGTTGATAATTTTCTCTAATTTTTTTTTTCGTGATAGTTACTCTCGTCTGAGGGGCCAGGATAAATTGAGTAACATTGACTTGGTATAAATGGATTGCTTTCAGCAAAAAGTAACCAACGCGTTCGCATTCAAAATCAGGCATATTCTTCCTCGCTGTAAAAGAATACTATATTTACGGAAATTAATATAGTTATACGGTCATTTTTCTGTAAATGAACAATTTGTTGGTAGAAAAACAAAATTGTTTGCTGTTCTGTGTATTTTTATACCTGAAGAATAAATGATAACTGCGACACTGCAATCGCGTTGGATATCTTCTGCAAAATGTGATTCAAAGTAAAGAATTACACAACATAAATTCTCCTCGAACATTCCACGAGGAAAACGAATTATATAGCAGGAAGTCTGGATTTCAGCTCCCACACAAAGTTATAAAGTGTTTAGAATTAATATTTTTTAAATGACAAAGATACAAATATCGTCATTTGTATCGTCTAACTTCTACTTGATCTATGTGTTGGAAATACTTTGTAATACATATATATCGTTTCGGATTTGATTCCCTAACTTCCAGTTATGGCAATCATCCTGGGTAAGATTTTGAAGAGAGAACATTCGAGGGAATCAGAAGACAAGGCACAGAAGTGCAGTTATTGCTATATTTCTAGAAATGCGTGTTTGAAGTTTCGAAATTACATGGATCTTAATGACGGAAAGAGAGTTCAAACTGCATTTTTGATGCTTGGAAATTAGAATTAGAGTGCGAATTTTTCTCAGAATACACATTAAGACTCCTTGAACTTGATATCATAAAAATTTCAATTTCTTCAAAAACTGCACTTATGCGCCTTGTCCTTCAAGCCCTTCATTTGACGTTCAGACCTTGTTCAATCACCCGAGACATGAGAATGAGACTCGTAATTTTATTGAAAGTTCAAGCTTTCAAATAAAGGTATTTTTGATGCGTTGGGTGGATCTCAGTCGCACAGCTTCCTACGACCCAATTGTTGAATTTATGTAGGTACAACAAGACAAAGTAGCCCTATCTTAACCATGCATAATACATCGCATTTCAATGTACTATCGTGCTCCTTTAAACTTTTTATATAATCGTCCCGCTGAACTAGTAAAAAATAGAGCAGTGGCGTCCGAAGTCGGTTTAACTACTCATGTTCATCCATTTGAAATTCGAAAGAGTTGGTCTGGAGTTTAAGACCTGAAATGAGCTTCTTTTAGCCTAATTATTTTGATTGATCGAATTATGATTTGGAATATATCTAGCTCAACTTCAGCCGAATGAAAAATTTCCATGAACTAGAATAGACTTTTTTGACTGCTTTGAGATTATTGCGGACTATTTTTAGTTATTTGAAGAAAGGAGAAGTAAAGAAAGTTAGATATATGAGGCTACGAAAATTACTTCCGAGTGAAATTGGTAAAAAACAAAGAACATTTTTTTGAGTTAGCATATTTTTCCGGGGGGTTTAAACATTTTGCCCATGCGTGCTTGCAACGTGAGAATTTTCTGCTTCACTCTCAGGAATAATTAAGATCAAACATACCTTAGAGCTATGGTTTGTCTAGAATAGGCTGAAAAATATAGAAGAAGTTTGTAAAATTCCGAATTTTTCATTCACTCCAATCATCATACATAAATGCCTCGCTTTTCAGACTGAATGAAATAAAATTTTGATCCGAGGAGTGACGTCACAGATGTGTTTATGTATGTATGTGTTATGGAGCATCGCATATTTTGACGGACATACGAGGCTCGGAATAGAAATGTTTGCGCACGAAATTGTCGACGACTTATGAGGATAGAGAGCACAGGTTTAAAACCCCTTCAAATTTTTATATATGTAATTTGTCGAACACCCAAAGAGAGTCTAGTCCAGAATGTTCGGTGTTCACGCTACTTTCTCGTGCATATATGTGTCACGTCCATAATAATACTTCTTTCATCAAAAAAAATCCTAGAGATGCCCTAACTCGGAGCTATACCCTTCCACACATGTTTGGGTCAATTATGTTTCTTTCTGAATTTTGGCGAAGGTTATAAACCAAAACTCATTGAAAATGGTTGCACCTCCTTAATTTTTGGTGCTAAATCAATCTCTGACTTAAAAAATATCGACGTCTTAAGTCCCCTGAACATTTTAGACAGGGCTTGCTCTGACTGAAATCTTTTTTAGGAAAAAATAAACCTTTTAAGAAACAAAAGGTCTTATTTTGACCCATATAACGCGATGCAGCGTGGCTGTTCCATTCTGGAAAACCCGATTGTATTTAGGTAAACACAACATTTTATGCGAACGAAAATAGGAATTTAGGGCGAACATTTATTCTTACCTTGAAAAAACATTTACATTTTAATGTGATTAATTAGAAGTTTTGTGTGTAATAGCTGTTTGGGGCGCACTTAGCGCACCCATCACGGCTAGTAGCGTGTATAACAGGTCCAAGCGGTGCACAAGATACTTTGAAAACGAGTGAAATCAATCGGATTAAATTTTGCAATAAGGAACCACTATCTCTGACTCTTACATAGAAGCGCATATCTGCATAGGGAAGCCAATGGCATGTATGTTGCTTCTGAAATAGGCCAGAAATACTGGTTCCTTTTTGCAAAATGTAATCCGATTGGCGAATCCTATTTATGAGAGCAGATAAACGTTACGGTGCATTTATCATTGTCAATTGGACTGAATTTTGCAATTTGGACCTATAAATTCTGTCTCATCTGAAGAAACAAGTAACTGCATAGTGAAACTAATGGCACATACGTTGTTTTTAAACCCGGCCGGAATTTATAGCTCCTAATTGGACTGCATTTTGCAATTTGGAACTATAAACTCTGGCTCTTCTGGAAAAACACTTATGTGCATAGGGAAAGTAATGGCAAATACGTCGTTTTTAAACCTGGCTAGAATTTATAGTTCCAAATTGCAAAATGTAATCCAATTGCAAACTATAGTCCTAGACTCATTTTGCAATTTGGAACTATAAATTCTGACTCTTCTGGAAAAACACTTATGTGCCGAGAAAAACTAATGGCACATACGTCGTTTTTAAACCGGGCTAGAATTTATAGTTCCGAATTGCAAAATGTAGTCCAATTAACGTGGTCCTGAATTAAAATCCAGAGAAGGCCGGGAAAGGGGAGCCCCCAAGGCTCCTGGCGCCCCCGAGACCGCCCGGTGGGGAGCTGAACCTCAGACTGGGCATGCGCTGGAACTTGACCTGGGGTTGTCCCTGCATCTGCATCGGCGAGACACGTCCCGGCGACCCTGGCATCGTCATGGGTGATCCCGGCATACGGCCCATCGACCCACCTGCAAAAATCATTTCATTGATCTCAAAATTCTATCCGTTCCCTCCCTCGTAATTTACAGGTCCATTTCCAATTTTATAGTTGATATGAATAGCTCTATAGCTCCTGTGAATCTCAGCAATAACAAAATAAACACTAGATTCCATGCCATGACAAACGTAACAAGGAACAGCCACTCACTAAGGTATATGATATGAATAGCTCTATAGCTCCTGTGAATCTCAGTAATAATAAAATAAACACTAGATTCCATGCCATGACAAACGTAACAAGGAACAGCCACTCACTAAGGCGCGGCCAAATATTTTTTGAAAAGCTTCGCTCAAACCTAAAATCCAAATACAGGGACCCAAATTTTCTAAATGTATTGAAACAATTTTTTATTGCCAAGTGTTTGTATAGTGTAGCAGAATATTTAGCTTAAGCTCTGTAATCTCTTTTCCTTTCTTTTCTTTTCTTTTTTTTTCGTTTTTTGTTTTTTTTTCTTATATCCTAACTGATTTTGGCATATTTGTTTTCGCCGTTATAAATGTGCATTTACAAATAAAATAAATTATTATTATTAGTATTACCTCCAGGCATAGAAAGACCGCCCAAGAGCGAAGCCAACTGGCTGGGCATCCCTGAGCCTCCCGAGATCTGTATCGGACCCGACGTGAACCTCATGGTCCGGGGACTGCCAGGTCTAGACTGCGGAGACCCAGGACTCCCTCCAAAGGGTGAACTAGAGCCAGAGTTTCCTCCGAAGGGTGAACCAGAGCCAGAACTTCCAAAAGATGGTTTTCTCCCGAACGGCGAAGTGGGGGCGGAGTCTCCCCCGAACGACCCCAGTTTCATCATCCCCGGCCCGAATGAAGAGAGTGGCGAGAGTGACGGCTCGGACCCCGGCCCGAAGGACCCGGACTTGAATCCGAAAGGTCCGAAGGACTGGAAGCCGCCGCTGAAGCTTCCGCCTCCGGAGCCTGGACGACCTCCGCGACCTTTCTTGCCGCCGCCTAATGCTTGGACCGGTCCGTTGGGTTGAAGAACGTTCTCGGCGTACATGCCGCCCACGTTTCCGGCTGGGTCGTAGTTGCACACCACGTAGACGTGTCCGTTACTCTTGGCGATTCCAACTCCGAGTCTTTGCGAGTCCTTCCAAACCACCTGCGTGAAGTGCCCTGAAGAAAGTGCAAAGAACGATGTCAGCTTGTGATAGGTTACTCAGGCGCCAGATACACCTAGAGTCCCTTTATACTGAGAGTCAAGACAACACCCCCTCATGGAGTCACAAACGGGAATAAAGATTACAGAAATTGAACATTTTTCGTAATCTTTGATCGGCCCATTCTCAAATTCCTTTCTCCGTTCTTTCTCTCATTCCGTCTGTTCCTTGCCGAGCCCGTAATTCCCTGGTCCATTTCAGAATATAATCTTTGCAGTCGGTGAAAATGTAATCTTTATTCCCGTTTGTGACACAGTGAAGGCCTAAACTACGGGAACCAATCAGAAATGGATTCACATTGTCTTGACTCTCAGTATAAAGGGACTCTAGGTTACTCAGGCGCCAGATACACCTGCGTGCTAGACGCAAAAAGGAGGATCCAATCCTACTTCGAGCGAGTTACGGGTGGTGTGTTGCAACCTGATTGGTTACGGAGATTGCCGAATACGGCCGAAGGCCTACTCGCCGCTCGAGACGCGCGTCTAGCTCGCAGGTGTATCTCGCACTTCATGGTACAAGCTATGTTTTCAGAATCAAAATTTGACATCGATGCGACTGTCGAGTATTCACTATTGAAATTTAGGCCCTCTTCTAGGTTTACAAAAATGCATCAGAAATATAATTTAAAACACCGCTCATGATATACTCTCTTTGAAAACCAGTAGGGTTTTATTCAAAATCTCAAAACGCCCAGAAATGATGACATTTGAATTCGCACTACTAGTTTAATTTTCTACTTTTTCCCATTATTTTAAGAGGGGGAGGATGTAATTTGTCATCTTTCTTCTGGACGCAAAAAAATTCGCATACACGCAACGATGGAACTCATACGTCTTTTGACACAACATTCTGTTTCATGTTCGTATCATAAATAAGTGCTTAATCATCAAGCAAAGTTATTCTATCTGTCTTTCTTAATAGCTACTTTGATATCAAAAATCTATTTACGTTGCATATTATATTAATTTTCTTTTTGGATATTAAGTTTCAAGAAGCAGACATATTACCAGTCCCGGAGCCTTCGGTGCCGTAGGTATACTGCTTAACCTCATCGTACCATGAGTCGACCGGATCGTTTCCTGAGACGGGGTAATCTGGATCTGAGGACCAAAAGTAGTATACGTTCTCGCCGTATTCACTGTCTCGATGTTCCATGTGTCCTAATTGCGTTAAATGGACTGCCCAATCTTGAGCTAGAGCGTTTAGCTATAAAAGAACGATACAAATAACTGTTAGTATCAAATCCCAACGAGGTAATGGAGTTCTTGCAAGTGTCAGAGATTTGCGTTTTAAGTAATTCATTCTTATATAAACTCTTTCAAGAAACACGATAGAGGAACTGGTTTGCTGTCAAATAAACTCCCAAGCTCAAATAAAGCTTTTAAAATTGGATGTATTTATGCTAAAAGAAACTATGTTAAACACAAACCCTATGCGTATAGTTCCTTTTAGCATAAATACGTCCAATTTTGGCCGCAATGGAGGGGATATCACACACTGCGTTGAGAGTTCACTTTTATATCTATAGTCGAACTCTCCGTGCACAGATGGGGAATAAATACATTAGCTGAGTTGCCGTGGTTCAAACTTTGTAGTCCCAAAACGAAGTGGCAACCTTGCCGCTATTTTCTCCCTATCTGTGCATGGAGAGTTTGACTACATATAGAGATAGACTAGACATAAACTGATGAATGCATTTAAATCATCTGTGGATTTACCGTAGATTATGAGGAATAAACTCACCGAATTTCAAGTTTTTTTTATTGAATACTTAGTTGTTTTTCAATCAATAACATCACAGAAAATTAGTCAACATCTCATTTAGTTGATTATAGGACATTTCGTCAACGATTTTACGTCTGCGCACCTGTTTTTTCTGGTAGTTCACGTCCACGCAGTACTGTGCAACACCTCTGTTGTGAAGTAGTTGCTTGAAGCGCCGCGCCATGGCGGGCGAGGGCGATCAGCGTGACACGCGCATTGGCGCCTACAAACCTAACAGGGATACTTCACGCATTGCGCAATGCGTGAAGTATCCATGTTAGGTTTGTAGGAGCTAGTGCGCGTGTCGCTCCGCGCTACGTATGGTTCGAATATTTAAACTCGCGGAGTCAACGTTTCTCAATTCATGATTTTGAAATGTTTGCACACTCTGCATGGATTATTCTCATTTAAATTGATGGGAAAAGATATGTATAAAAGGAAAATATGATTTTTTGCGCAATGCGTCACAATTGAACGTGGATGTAAACAAAAATGTTGATTGTGGCACCACGATATGGAGCCGTTACATGGAGCGGAGTTTTCTTAATTTCACCAGCAAGGCGTGAATGATCAATTATCGATATTTCCCCATTTGAAGCTATGATAAAGAATCGATTATTAAGGTGTTCGCAGCGAACACACTGTTTATCGATCCTTTCTCATAGGTTTAAATGCCAGATCAATCGATATATCGCAAAGCACACCCCGCCATTGGTTGACTTACGTCTTCATCGAGGGTGAGAGGAGGCACACCGTGCGCAGCCCTGTAATGGTTGTGCGCCGCAAGCACCTCATCAGCAAACTGATCTCCTTTGCAAGAACTGAAACAAGGCGAGGAGTCCGTTTACATAAGTCACTATAGTAGGCACACTATTGACATTGTATGTTTCATTTGGAGGCCGCTTAAATTATGTGGCGTTCATCGGAAACTTAAAAAAAATGTAAGATCTATCAACTAGAAAAGGGTTTGATAGAATCCAACTTTCTCTCACGAGTTACCTCCATGTTCAACCTTCCAGTTTTTAAGTTTTCCAGCTTGTTTTTATTTAAGTTTTTTAAACGCCACCTGAGTCAAATATTTTTCTCATGTTAATACCTCAACCAACAGAGGCAACGCATCCTATGATGTTGATAATAACGCCTTATGATACAACTATTCGTACTCTATGGACGCGCGTGTTGCATGTGAGTAAATGGAAGGCGTTTCACTCACTCCAGTCCATGCGGCAGTCATAGAGTACATAGAGTCGTAATGTAAGTGGGTGAGCGGGCGCCACTTTTAAGCATTTTCCAGGTCCCGAATTCCGAGACTCCTGTGTGACGCCCGGTCACTTTTTCGATACATGATCGATTGTTTGCGGTGCACGGGTACCCGGTCATCCGATGTAAAAAAAGAAGATAGGAATCACCACGTATTCCACACCGCCATTTTGGATCGAACATGTATCGAAAAAGTGACCCAAACTCGGAGCACACCGGGCTCGGAACTCGTCGAGCAGAACATGGCGCCAGGTCTCCCATTTACATTATGACTCAATGTACTCTATAGCGGCAGTGCACAGTGCACGCAGCAGTGTGGCGCGCTGGTGCGATTGCGTGACAAAATGAAATTATTCGATAAAAACTGAAGGGAAAGAATAGGAAAGGATTTATGTATATAACGCTGTATATAAAGCTGCATATCATGATTGATTACTAGATCGTAGTGTCAACAAAAATCCTTACACCCAAGTAACATCAACTGATGAAATGTTGCCCCAGGAAGTAAAACAAAGATTGTTGAAGAAAAAAAGTTGTTCTTTTTAATCAAACGACTTTAAAAGCAGAGCTCTTATAACAGTAAAAAATACAAATTTAAACTTTGCAGCTCTGTATTGCCAAAACGAGCTTCGAACTCAAGCTGAAACTTTCATTGGAGGATTGTCTTATCATAAAGTTTTGTTTGAGATATAGGTTCGGAGGAAGTACCTTTCCAAAAAAGAAGCACTTTAGCGTGCACACAACTTTGTATTACACTTTACAAAGGTATTGTGTTTAGAACCTGCATTTCTGTTTAAATTCTTCAAACGCATCATTTCTGCCTTTAAAATACAAAAGTGATCCCGTGTAACCCAGACTATACAGAATTTTTTAACATTCTAATGAAAATATAGGAAGTCAATATCCTCTATAACATAATTTCAATTCATTTAGCTTGCTCTCCATGCTGAATGCGGTCGGAACATCGCATGACGCAGAAATAACTGATAGTGTGATTCACTCGCTCAAAATAACACCGGATTTCCATTTTTTTAAGAATTTTCCTTCCTGATTCACGTGCCTGCTTTTGATTTGACGGGTTGAGCGTCAGGTTTTCAGCGTCAATTTCACCGGAAAAAATGCACGTTTTCCCCGTATTCCAGTGAAAGCACCTGACACAGGCTATCTCACGAATAAATCGCCTATTCTTTCCTGTCGCAATTTTGCGTCACTCAGACTTCTTTCCATCATCACAAGGATTTTCTCCACGCAATCCATCCAATTAACCCAGATTCCTCTGAACGGAGCCATCTGTTTTCAAAGATCTGCGTCCGAGCTGTTCGCAATTAAAAGTGTTGACTAACTGCGGCTTGTCATGAGCGTGATAGAAATCACGCTCCAAGCGCCATACCTTCGAATTTTTTAGGCGTAAAGCTGACGTGAGGAGTGAAACACCCAGCAAGCTAATCGAATCCTGATGGTTGGACTTAATTGGCTTTGGTAGTCATGCGTCCTATCACGGCGAGATTTTCCAATATTTTGTAGTTAACTATTTATGTTTCTCAGAAATATTTGAGATAAAGCTATACTCAGTCATGTCAAAGTCAATTTAAAAGTTTTAACTTGGGTTCGAGGGCCAAAATCGGCAAAAATTCGTGTTCTTTCAATGATCTAATACAAATTATACGCTGAGTCCGAAGGAGACATTCGATGTGCATTGGATATTTTGTTGGAAACCACTGAAAACTTCAACTAAAAACGTCAACGGTTAAACACAAATACGAACGCACTTCGAATGGATCTTTCTTCTTACTAATTTATTCGTCAAGTTGGCGTCTATAGATACAAATGGCTAAAAATATAAAATACCCGGGAATATACACAGTGAGATAAAGAAATTAAAATCTTGTGTTAATACATGCACTCGAAGTAAAATACGAAGAAACTGAAGATGTTGGTGAATTTTTTATGCATCCGCTTTCTCTATGTCAAATAGACCAAATTGGGTTGAATCTAGGACCTAGTTAATAATTACGCACTAGTCGCCAAGATCAAGCCTGTAACGTATTGATAGTAATTCAATGCGTTATTAGCCTCTAGTAAGTCGCAAATTCTGAGCAAGGGGAGAAAAACAAGAGTGCATAAGTTCCGTACTGCCGTGCCAAGGAAGAACGCCGTAGGAGCCTTCAGATGTTGCCAAGTTTCCTCCGATAAAAACCGAATTTACTAGGAAAATTGTGAATATTATTTTCCGAAATTTTCAGACAATTTTGTACGCAATTTAATCTAATTTATCTGAAATTTTCAGGGAAAGATATGCATGAACGTTGTCAAAAATACAAACTTTATCAAGGGAAATTTGGCAACTCTTGAATGTTCATACGGCGTTCTCCCTTAGCACGGCAGCGTAGGACACTATCTTGATGTCTCAGAGTAACCTACGGTTTGCATCAATTTAAAAAAAAGTAACACAGAGTAACACTAAACACGGTCATTTTTAACTGTCTACTTCCTTTTCCTACTTACCTTTATGTACGATGCATATTTTTCGGACATTTTTTAAATTGACAATGCGCTTAATTTTCGGAGGCCCAAACTCATTAGACCGAGCCCGAAATAATGTAAAATTCGTATGTTCACAATATTCTCACTCCGATTCTTGAAGCAGCAAAGGGTCTTATTTTATCGAAGGAGTGTCAAGTAGCCCTTAACAGCATACACATATCTGAAGAACATCAACTGCGACCTTTAAGTCTAGGATTCAGATTTGAAGTTGAAGACGAAAAAAACAAGATTTTTCTCCGATTTCGGTCTTTAATCTCAATTCCATTCCCCGTTAAAAAACCAAAAATAATACTTTCACCAAAACTCAAATATTTCTGAAAAATATCCGTCATCATAACTGTGATTTACTGAAAAATTCCGGTGTTTTGTTTGGTCCTCATTTCTGGACGCTACAGGTTTGACAGTTACATTTATGAAAACACTCGGAGTATGAGTAAGAGATAGTCATCTTTGAGCTTAAAGGAGGCAGTAGTCAACATCCAACATCCCAAAGGGTCCTCAGGAATAGAAGCAAACCATATCAACTGTCACTCGCGCCAAGCATAACATATTTTGAGTAACACTGAAAACACTCGTGTTTTCGTCGCCCGGCTCGGCGTTCGGATTAAAGTTTGGACCTATCTGTAAATGTACTCTATAACTCAAAATTTGCTGAAATTAAGTAAACGTCGTCAACTTCAAAACATCAGAACATCTTGCGATTCTGGGACAGGGGCAATTATGGCCCCGTGATACCCCTTTTTTGTGGATATCCATTGGTACGAGCCTCTACTGCACGGCGGCAAATGTTTCGGAAGGCAATTTTAGTAAAGTAGGGTCAACAACTCGGAGTTTTAGTTTCTGAAAACGCTCTATTATCAGAAATTGTCAAACGGTATATTTCATTTTTGGATCAGTGGAGGGCAAGAAAAATTCACTTCAATCTGATAACTAACTAAGCGTTCCGAGCGTAAAACAGCTTAAAACATTTAGTAACTTAACTTTAAAACTGCATTTTTAAAAATGCATATTGAAGTTATTACACCTTCAGTTTTATTGTGCTTTTTTCCCGCTGTTTTGCGATCATTCTTATGAAATATTTCTCCTAGTGGTGGTGCCAATAGCTACATTTTTAGTTTTTGGGGAATATTGTATTAGGAAATTCTTTTTTTCTGTTCACAGTCACACTTGTGTACCCAAACGAAGTGCGTAGTGCGTAGTGCGTAGTGCGTAGTGCGCAGTGCGCACAAAACGAAATTTTCCCGCGAAATGGTGTGGACCGAGCACCATTTTCCACCTTGTCACATTTGTATGAATGAGCAAAATAATATGCATTTTTACCTAAAACCTTTAGAAACTTAATCCATCACGTAAGAAAATTCAATCATTCAGACTTTTTGCTGAAATTTTTTTCCTTTAATTTTGACTATAGATGACACTCATAATGCATGCTAGAGAAGAGTTTTGAAAAGACAAGTAATAGGATTTATTGATAAATGGAAATATGGATCAATAAGGCAAACCTAATTATACACAGAAAATAAAGAAATCATGGTCGTAAATATTTTTCAAATTTCGGCATAAAGGTTTAAAGTTAATAAAAGAAAGTCTTTTATGAAATTTTCTATTTTAAAGTCAACAATTTTTCTTCATCCTCTGAACGGACATTATCAACATCATCATTAGAAATAGGTACTTAGAACTTGGTTTTCAATCATCGTTTTACGAACTGCAAGGATAAAGATTTTACCTGATAAGCACAATGAGCAATAGAGTCACGGCGAAAGGACAGCTCTTCATCGACAACATGATTCAAGCTGGCGGCCTCTCAGGTATTGAAAGGCGTCAAAGGGACGCCGAGAAATCTAATGCGGGCACAAAATGGCCCGAACTAAAAACTTTCACGAACAAAATCGTACCGGAAACTGAGAACGGCGGATGGTCGCCGTTTTGCAACGGCAATGGTCGTTATATGCCTCCGCATCTCATTTATACGAGATGGAACATTGACATTGACATTGCGTGATTTATCCACCAGTCAACAGCATGCTGATGCATGGTGCACTGGTGCAATATGATTTTTCATTAAGCGACACGCTAGGAGCACTTTCCCGTTTGACTCATCCCTAGGTATTGAAAACCGCCAAAAAAAATCGAAACTCTTCCCTGGTTTTTTCCTTTACGTGATCAATGCACCTGGGATATCTCGTATATGACGCATGGACCTCTTAATTTGGCCTTCCCTTAATTGAGGGGCTCGGTGGACAAGACGCATTAGTTTAGATTTTGAAAAAAATTGACATATTAATGATTTCAAGTAAAACTAGTCTTAATTCATACTCTGTGAAAACTTCGCTCCCAAATTCTAATTTTTAAGCATCAAAAAGTCAGTTTGAACTTTCGTTTTGCCATAAGGATCCATGTAATTTCGAAACTTCAAACACGTATCTCTCGAAATAGGATAAACTCCACTTATGCGCCTTGTCCTCCCAGCCCCTCAATTATTTTGTTCATTTGTGGCATCAACTGAAAGACTCAAAATTCAATAGGAGAACAAGCCCTGATATGGTTAACTGCCATCAGATTCAAGGTAATGATGAGATTTGCAGGTGTATTTTATTACAAGAGCTTTTCCATTGTTCTATAGTTTATTCGAGTCACTCAGGTAGAATCCCAAACCTCGACTTTTCTAGCGGAAAGGACATATCTCTCACGCTATTTACATTGGACATAAGTGACATGAGCTTTAAAAGCTCTAAAACATTAAAAGTTCGGAGTTTCATAATTTTTTGCACATCTACAGCTATTACAGATGACATACATGTAAAGATCATCCTTATCGGCCCGGTAGTTCGTCAGAAATAATGCTTCCAACATTTTGCTTGTAGCTGTATAATATAGATGAGATGTTTTTTTGCGGTTGGTGCAATGGAGAGAGGAAGCGTCATAATTCGCCAAAAAAAAAAAAAAAAACATTTGTCAATCATCCTCTTGTTTGCTTCACCTAGGCGATGCGTCAAAGGTATTCAAATGGTGACGCATTTATACCCTACGTAAACCCTCCGTTGCTTTTGTTTACCTGTAGAATGGGAGGAATGTAGACTGTTCTAATTTCACCTGAGCGTCATCCTGAAAATACTTCCTTACCACCTGTGTTTCAAACATGTTATGATATTTTTCAATATTTTTTTCCTTTTGGTGCAATCGGGAATGGAATCGTGCAAAAGACCGCCAGAAATCATCATACTCCTAGGTATCTTAAAGTCGCTACTCTCTGAGATATCCAGACAACGCATTAAGTTTCTACGTCGACCTCTCCCCTGTGCAGCAGTGGAGGTAAGATTCACAAGATGTTTACTTATGCCAAAGAAACAAGCCAAATATGTTAGCAACCCTTTGACTCAAGTGATGAGATTTTTAGTTATTTTCTTGATGTTTGCTGAATAAACTTGATGAATACAGACTCAAAGACCCGGTATGCGTTACATTGCCAAGAGGAGAATGAAAATCACCTAAAGACTTATGACACGATCTGAAGACCCACGACTTCTTTGCACAGGGCAAACGCTCATGAGGGTCATTTTTGGTTTTACAATTGGTCGAATTTTAAAAATACTTCAATAAAATTTTTATGAGACGAGATTCACTTTCCATCATCAGTGCAATGAGACCCTGGTATAGTATTTTATAGTACAGGTTCTGCATGGTAAAGTATGTAAGGGGTTTCCGAGGTTTAGTATCTCCTGTTTTCCATAAACTAATAGTTCGAGAAACAAACCCAAAAATAATAACTTTTCATTGTATTCGTTCCATTTTGAGTGAAAGTTTATTACGAGGAACCCAATTTATTAAAATTATTGACGACAATCTCTCTTCTCATACAGATGGTTGGCTTTTGTATACATCGATAAATTTAATGAACTAAAAACTTTAATAATGCATGACTGAATATAATTGATATTCAACCACATAATTACGTGATACAAACGAACCGTAGCAAGTTGCGATTACATGATAAAATGATTGCTACCGCATTAGAGTGTTGTGTGCGTTGCGTATCTACTAATTGAAGGGGCTCCTCTTATCAAAGCTCTTTGAAATGAAATTGAAAAAGTATAAGTTACTAAGGGGCTATGCCCCCTGGTCGCTACGCGGCCCAACCCCCCGAGGGCGTTTCACCCTCTCTTAGGCTCGCTTTGACAAAAGAACGACCAAAGAAATGAAAAGATTTTCATACCCGATTCTTATTTGTCCAATCTCCTCTGGCCGAGAGCGATCGGACCAATAAGAATCAGATAAGAAAACCGTCATTTATTTTAAACTTCAGGCCTACACTGAAACGAAATGGAACTAACGGAACCGAGCGTTTTGTTGCTTTTGGATAGTCTGTAGTAAAGGAACACACCTTCGATTCGCATTACCTTACTGTACTAACAGACCAAGATTCACAATTTCCCGCTTAGTTCAATTTTCGGGAAAAATTGAAATTCTCGCTAGTGAAAAATGGCGGGAATTTCAAATTTTGCCCCCTTTCTAAGCTTCCAGGTATACCTACTCTATTATAAAAAAAATGTGGGTCATATTTCAAAATCTGATTACAGCGGGCTCATTTAGGACCTATCGCCTGTCGTTAGCCTCAAAAATTATGGAAATTGGCCCAGAAGAACGCTCAAACGAACTATGACAAAAAATAAAAATTTGCATTATTTAAATGGGAGAATTCGCAACTTTACCGCGTAATATAAAAAAAACCTGAGTCATATTTTCAAAATCTGAATAAAACGGGCTCATCTAGATACAATTGCCTGTCGATAGCCGCAAAAATCAAGAAAATCGGCCGGGTAGAACGAGTAGAATATGCAAATTTAGGAGGTCTCGGAGCTTATATGTATGATTGCTATTTCATTGCAATTATCTATGGCTTCAAATTCGTAAGATTCGTTTTATTATTTTTTTAAAATCGGCATTCGCTGATCAAATGATGAACAAATACACATAATTTGAGGATTGAAAAAACAAATTGCAATTTTATCGGATGAAATTGCAAGTTTTTTAAAAAAAAAATTGCATTACATTGTGCCACTCAGTTAATAATTTACTCATCCAGCCCGGATTCCTTTCAACCTCTGTGAACCCTCATGAAGTTCATAAAGCTTTCCAATTTCCGCTTTGCACTCACGTCTGTTCCAGATACCACCGTTCTAGTATAACACCAACGCGGAGCGGCGACGCACTGGCGCCCACAAACCTAACATGGATACTTCACGCATTGCGCAATGCGTGAAGTATCCCTGTTAGGTTTATAGGCGCTAATGCGCGTTACGCGCTCTCTGCCCTCCCGCCGCGCCGCAGCGTGCCACGGCGTCTGAAGCAACAATTTCACACTAGATGTATTGCACAGTATCATAAGAAATTGAAGGCGCTCCAAAAAATTAAGAATGACAGGCATCCTTCAAAAGTACGGAGCTTTCCTCGCAAAATAAATCAAGATACTAAGGCACAAAAAGAGAGTGGTAGTCCAAAAACTAACTAAGTCCTGGTATCCGTATTTCGTAACGTTTAGCATAAAATTTATCCTCTGGCTGTTGCTTAATCGCCATCGGCTATAAAAGGCTAAAAGAAATTGTACAATCGGCCACAGAAGCTATTGGAAATCTTACAGCTGGCTTTAGGTCTATGGTATTTTGGAACACAGATTCTACTGCCAATTCTTACCAGGGACGGCTAAAAATCCAGGGGCCCAAAATGTAACATTAGTTTCGTTCGGAAATATGCCACCGTAGAGGCTTGTCTCCCTTGTACTGTCGTTATTCACGATAGCTCTACCTGCGAGCAAATGAATCATACGCATACCTTCGCGATCTCTTTTACATTCTGAATTTTCGGCCATTTTCTTGGACTTTTCGAAAACCAAGCCTCTATGAAACAAAAATTCTATGACATTTTTTCGAAATTTGTCTACGCCCAATACAATGGCTTCATGGGAATAGCACCCTCATGGATCAAAGAACATCTTCAGTTTATATACGAGTATCTTCAGTGCTCCTTGATAGATTTGAAGGCAAATCGGCAGATCGGGAAATCGAGTTTACGAAATCTATCAAAAAAGGGAAGCACCTGCAACACTAATTGTGCGAGACGTGTTGACAAGGTATACTGTTTTGTAGAGGACGTCTCGCAGAGGACTTTCAATGATAGATACACATTTTATTCGTCCAAACATTTGAGTGTATGGGCCCAGAGATTTCCTTAAAACTCTTCATAATCAATAGGTACATGAAAGTAAGTGATATTTTAGGAAGATTTTATCAAAATTTAGGCTCTTCTTCGCGAGAATATCGCCTCCTCAGAAGATCAGCGTCTCCTCTAACCTAATCACTTACCCACCGGAGTTGCAAATAATCTGGAGAGAAGCCACCGGAAAAAAGATGACTTGAATTTGCAGGCAAGAGGATTTTAGCTTACAGCCCTTGAGTAAATCGAGAATAAAATCGCTTGAATAAAGCAGATATTGTTTGATAAAAAAAAGCCACTTTTTTATGTGAGCATTTTTTCCTCTCGGTTCAAGAACAATATCTCCTTGCCTTGGTGGCAAATTCAAGAAAACTTTTACTTGAACCATCTCTTTTTCAACAAGTGCCTCGTGTCAGTCCCCTAGTATAAAAACGTATCTACTTACATACTACAAAAGAAAGCCTCCCCGATTCTGTTCCTTTTTACTCTCCTTCCTCATCAACCTCCTAAATTAGTGTCACACCAGTTTAAAAGAGAAAAAAACTCTAAAAAGCAGCGCTGAGCCGCCTTACTGTTAGAGATTGTCCCGCGCGCGCGACAGTGCATTCAGATGGATGAAAAGTGCCTACAATTCAACATGATACCACACCAGGCGCAGGAGCTCGATAAGTTGCGTTCTGATAACTGTTAGTTTCTACGAGACCTAGTGAAGGGGTAAGAAGCCGCTGTAAACATTGCGGCAAAA